CTCCAACCGCGTATAATCGTGAGCTCCATCTTGAGAAAGGGTGAGGGTAATTTCATGGAAACTTCATACGAGAACTCGGCATAGTTCTCTAAGGACCATATAACTTCACCAATAAAGATTTAGGGATTTGATAGAAAACAAATTTCAACATTGAAATATACTAAAATTGAAATATAATATCCAATATATATCACATAACTCATATATTGGAAGAACTACCCAGTTAGTATCAGTATGAATTGTCGCACATTATTATCAAAAACATCCCATTTCCACTTAATTAGCGTAAGTAACCAACTCCAAGAAAAAAGCACCCAACCAAATTCGCCTTCGGGCAGATCTACAAGAGAAGATCTGGAGCAAAGGTTCCAACATCCGAAGGTTTCGATCGAGGTCGTTTTCGCGTAATGGAACCCGTATGTGTAATTTGCCGCAGGACCGGTCGCGCGCCTGTATCTCGATTAGAATTTCTTTGAACCCACATACACGGTCCAGTCGCGTCTATGTGTCCGTCGCGCCTTTCAGCTCTGATCCTCGTCAACCGATGCGGGCTCCTACGGGACAAACCGTTTCGTTTTAACCAACTATTAACATTAAATCGGGAGCCCACATTTCGTAGCCATCGGAAAAATTCTGCCTGATAGCCCATCTAACGAATCGAACAGCTCCCTTTACTCCGGGGCTCGTTAGCCGCGTAAAGTAAAACTGGTCGAGCGAAAAACGAGCAACGGGGATAAATCAAAGTACTCTTCGATCGGCGGCGCCTCGAAACCGACGTCCCTCAACGCTAATAGCGGGACACCCGACCGGACACCCAAGACCGCGACGTATCGCGGTTGTCCATTTTCTCGATCATGGTACAATTACGAACTTCAAACTCCGTCCAATTGGTTGGCCGGCATTATAGCTGGCTGTAATTAGTGTACGAAACTGGAGTAGGGGTGGGGGCAGAGAGGGGAGGCAGCATACGTGTAATGCTCACGTTAATTACCTGACATGTTTAGCATGCATTACATCCACGTATACGAGGCAGTAGCTTCGACCCACCCTGCCTGTCTACTTGCTCGCCTGTTACGCTCCACCTACGGGCCTATCCTGCGTTCTGAACACCAGGTAACGAGCGAAACGAGGAAATTTTCGGGGAGCTGCCACACCACCTTCAAATTCGAAGAAACTTGTTAAGGAGGCCCAGATATTGCCGGATAAATTCTACCCTTGCTTCATCCCGCATCTGACACTTTATTCGTACCGGAAAATAGCTAACAATCATACATTTAATAATTCTATCAGGAATAGAAATTTGATATCTACATAACAAGATAACCTTAGTATTTGTAGGAATATGAAGTACATTATAGAGGGACAATTGCTTGATACCTTCTGAGCTACTTATAATTGACATGTCGTCACATATGAACACAGCGAAGGTAGAAAGCAATGTATGCGAGGATTACAGGTTCTAGAGAGTACAACTGAAGGTTCACTTGCATCTGTAATCAATCTGAAAGAATTTTAAGAATTGTATTACATCATGAAACTTCGACCAGTTGCAGAAGGGTTAATAACATGTCGATTGAATTTTTAGTCTTCTCCACGAACGTATTAATAGACTTCCATATTCGATCAATATTGTCTAACAGTTCAGTATCATAAAGATTTCATTAAGATTCGTTGAAAATGCGGTGAACAATCGAGGACGAATGAGTGCATTCGTAACAGGAGGAACGATTAATGCCCCGCGAAAGGTAAATGGACGGTGAAGGGTAGCGGACACGGATGGCGGTAGTCCACGATCAGCTATCCGAAATAATGCATAGAGCGTAGAGTGCACGTAACGGAATAACAATTTCCTATTGCATTAATTAGAGGTCGACGAGGCGTGAAATCGAGGTTTACGAAGCGTCAACCAGTTTTACACATCGCGACGGAATAATAACGTCGCGACACGACTCGAATTCCGAATACATTACCTACGTCAGCGGGACGCGATCTCCGGCTGGATCGTTGAAAACCAAGGGATCGGGACTGTAATGATTAACGACGAACGTTAATGCCCGAAATTCGATCAGCCCGCTCGGCAATTATTGTAACCCGCCACGAATACCGCGACACGTCCGCGATACAATATAGAGAATTCGACATCGAACCAAATATGGGCTATAATGCACTCGGATGCAATATAGAATTCCCCACGGCGGGGTAGGGAATCTATCACCATTTTTGCTATAACGCTAGAGCAGATGGGGGTGGAAGCTTCCTTAGATTTACTGTTCTTCAAGGTCTGAAGTTTTCCTAGGTCTATATATTTCTAAGTTCATTTTTTCTTAGACCTTTCTACCTCTAAGTTTAGAGACTAGTTTCGTTTACTAGTCTTTCCCTAAGTTTACTCTCTAGATCCACCTTTTTAATTTTCCCTCGCGTCTTTCCCTAAGTCCCTAATCCAAGTTCGAAAAAGCGAACGAAGAATTACAGTCGCTGCAATTTTAATTCGGCCCAAAGCCGAACGTACGTTTCTCGAAATTGCGGTGTTTAATTGCGATCAACCGTGTAATGACCGGCAGCGGTCAATTAACACTTGCAAGGGACGCGCATGCGCGAGGAATCGCGGAACGAATCAGCGAGGTGAACACGACGGGATGGTACACGCGTGCACGATACACGAAGTAGACGCCTGGAATTGGCGTTTTTGTTTCCCGATATCAATTTCGAAGCGACGACGAGGGGCTTTTAATTGGGACCGGCGATCGGCCAGCGACGACGTTGCTGATGGCGATCCAATCGTTCATTGACAGTAATGGAACGCGATATATGCAAGGAAATCTCGGGATCGAAGAAGAGAAATTCGTTTGCTTTTTTCCGTGATGAGCCTATCCAAAAATTAATTCTCAAACGTCGACAGCGAATGATGGATCTCCCTCGGGCGGGGTTCAACGACCTGACGCCATTTTGGAGTCTTAAATGGATAACAATTTGATCTTGAATACGGAGTAATATCGATATCTTTAACACTACTTAATGAAGAATGAGAGTAAATAAAATACTGGGATATTCAGGAGTTTTCATGTTATTCGTATAATTTGTATTTTAATTTAAATATAATTATTTCATCCTTCTCCCACCCTTTATGTTCATGTGTACTTCATATACTTGAGTTATATCAGTATATATAAATATTAAAAGTGATATACAGAAAATGAAGTAGTAGTACACAAAGAGTAATCGCATTGAATACTTTAATATCGTGAAATTTATTGTTAAATGATTTAAAAGTACCTCAAAGGCTTTGATCAATTATAATTATCCCGTGAATGGTTACGAAACATGCACTCAAGCCCGGATTCAATTATCGTCGGAAAAAAAGCGGAAAAGCAATGCAACAGCGTACAAAGAAAAGTGATTCGAAATACCTTTGTCGTTCTCATTGAATGCTGTTGCTTCCCGCGGCGCAACAACAGCTGCCCCCGATGGCTTCCTAATCGATGATTCTGGAAGTGGTTATATTTCACTGCACACGTTCTATTACGAAGTTACAATTTGATTGATCGATCAGTTCGACCCGCAAACGTTAATTCCACCACGATTTGAACTGTGAGCGTAGAAAAATTACAGTCGCGTTTATCCATCTGACGAACGAACGCTGAACTACAGAACGCGACGTTCGAACGGTAACGTTTCAGGCCACCTTATCTTCTAATCTTGCTCCTTTATTTTCACCCGTCGTCGATTAAGTAAACTACTGCAATTAAAGCTGCACGCGAAGAATTATTCTTTAATTCAGAGACACTGCAATTAGAAGGAGGAGGAGGACTTTGCAAGGTTTTGGGGATTTGGGAGTTTGGGGAATGGGAGAACTTGAGAATTTGGGGAGTTGGGAATTTGGGAATGTGAGGAGATAGAAATTTGGGTTTTGGGATTTGGAAATTTGGGAATTGAGAATTTTACTATTTGTAGATTTGGAAATTTGTGAATTGGGGGTTGAGAATTTGGGAATTGAGAATGCAGTGATTTGGAAACGTGCAGTCTCCAAGTATGGGAACCTGCAAATTTCGGAATATGGCGAAGTGGAATTTGTAAACTTTCAGATTTAGAGATTTGTGAATTTTTAAATTTGTGACTCCGTAAACTTGGAATTTTCGAATTTGTGAACTTGGAATCCCTTACATTCCACGTGAAGCACCCGTCCGTGTTTCAAGCTGCGTCAACCCCGTAAATATTGTACTTACACAAACCAGAAAATAACAAAGAAAACAAAATACCATAAAGTATCAAAAGTTAAAAAAGTACCAACGTGCCAAATTAATCTCAGCTTAATTTCTGCGAAATTAATAAAAATAATATCGAAGATTAAAGAACGTAGCGTTAAAAAAGCATCGAAAAAAAAGCAGCAAGGTAGTCTAGTTTAACCGTGATTCGCGTTTTACGTGCAATTTCGATGATAAACGATCGAGCGTCCGAGATAAATTGGTTAAAATTAAACTCTGGCAGAAACTAACAAAGGAGAAGGGCGGGTAGAGAAAGGGTGACGAGAACAGGGTGGTAGGTATGGGGATGAAGAGTAGAATGGGGAATGGGCAAACAGAGCGCAATTAACGTGCGACCATTAAATATGTACGCGAGTTACTGCGCCACGATACGTATGTGTATGTGTGTAGGTGTGTGTATGCGCGTGTGTGTGTGGGCCACGCAAATGCATTGGCTATCGAACGCTCGCGCGCCACTACCGATCTCTTCTTGCTGGTTGTTGGCACAGCCGCTTGATTAGCTCCGCCATATTTACATATCATTAGCCGAGTGTTTATCCGACTCGGGAGCACCCCTCTTGCATCACCGTTGTCCGTCAATATGCGAAATAAAAGTTATTACGTCGCTCAAACCCCGTGCAGGCAGCCGGGTACCGCGATACCCGATTCGGTGTTTAAAATTTCCATCGGGAAAAATCGTTGAAAGAAATAACGGGTAACTATTGGCGTGACTAGGAAATTCTCGTAGTTTACAACTCGTTATATTTCAGTTTCACTTTATTCATAAAAATACGAATTTCGATCTGAATCTCGTTGCCTACATTGCATAACAATTTGTTTTTTTTTCTTTCTTTCTTTTTATTCGTTTTATACGCTACTCAAATAGTATATTGGACAAGCTGGCGGCAATGACCGCGCGAGAAAAAACGAAAACGATAATAAATAGATTAACGAACTGGACTCGCTTGATTAACGCGAATTAACGTTTGATCGGGTAAATTATCTTGGTGGGACAACATCGTGATTAGTCGCTACTATCGTAAATCTTAACGTTCGGCACAATCTAATCGATGAAAGACATCCTGCCTAATGTAGCGGATGATATCGTGAATACTGCTACATTTAATTTATCGAAGGAAATGCTTACCAATTTAGTAAATAATATAGTTAGGCTAAAAATAATATTTTGTTCTTCGAAGCATTTGCCTTAATGGAAAAAACATTAAAAACGAGAAAATAAAATAGGTTCTGTTGCATTCGATTTCGTAAGAAACTCTGTAGAATCATAAAATTAAGATAAGCACGTTGCTTCGACGTTTTATTCGCTACGTTAACGTACACGCAATCTTAACCCCTAAATTTTTCGATTACGGTAACGCGTTTTGATTATCTTCTTCCTCTTCCACTTCCTTCTCCTTAATTTCAATATGGCGGCAGTCTATTGAGTCGTACACGTTTCTCGAAGCTTATCCATAGAAATTATTGTAAAAAGTACCGTTTTTAAATTACTATTAAGGCAGTATGGTAATATGACTCGACGCGGGCTTCCATACGAAGCCTTTCTACCTTGTCACAGATCGTCCAGTATCTGTCGGATATGTGCGTGTTTCCTACTCATCGGGTATTACAAATTATTAACGAAACGCAACGTTTAAAGCCTTTAAAACTCAGCGAAACAATGAGATAAACAAGTTAATGCGCAACAGATAGTGGCGATGTGCTTAGAGTTTACCTGGGCTAACGCTGAAAATATGAAATCGTATAACGCTATACAAATAAAACGCGATCCACGTTGTTTTTCCTGATCAAATGTCGTCCGATTGGAAGAGAATTCAAACTTGGTCCACGCGCCTCGCTATCTATCGTGAATAAATCGAAGAACAATTTAATGAACAACGATTAATAAATAAACGAACAGACAACATAATTAATAGAAATCGCAAAGCAACGACGCTTCTCATTCTTATAGCGTTGAAACGTGACGGTACATGCGTACCGTCGTAATTGTGACTGTCATCGTAATTTTATAGTCGATACAGCGATATACAAACGATTGCATTGTTTTCCAAGGCAGTAAAAGAAAGTAGGAACTGCCCCAAGAATTTCTGTCACGATTACGAATACCTAATTATTATATCTCTCGTTCCTTTAGGTATCCTAAGGATAAGTAACAGACTCAAATGCAGTACGAGCACGAATTCATCTCGAAAATAACTCTAGATCGGAAGAGTTTCCACAAACGCAACGTTCTTTACCACGAAAAATCTCAGCGTTGAAAAAGTAATAGTACGTTTTCGTCGCAATGAAAAGGAATTCTAGTAATGAGCATAATCAGCAAGTTGACATTGCATTCTAACTAACTCTAGCAAGTGGCAGCATTACTGCAACCAGTTTCCAACATAGCCGATTCAAATTGTTCGAGCACTTGCATGCTTTCCGAGGATACAGCATTTATGCCCAAACGTTCTTTGAAATCGTTATCGGATAATCGACGTCGGGAATATTTGATAGAGTTGTCCATCGCTTGTTCCGGAGTGTCGCTGTCGCTCGTGCTGCTACTTCGGCTACTACTGGTTGAACGTCTGCCACTGTATAAGTCTTGTCTCTCGGAATCAGCCTTATCATCAGGAACTGAGACCTCGTTACGAAGCTCCAAGAAATTGCTTTGTGCGTTACACAGAGACTCCGCGTCTTGCCGATCCCTCCGACTTTCGGATACGATTTCTGTCAAGGACGCGATGCGATTCTCGTCATGGTCCGTTTCGCATTCGAGTCTGATATACTTGCTGCTACGTTTACGTTCATACGTAATAACCTCGTTCGTTCTGGCGAAGTTCGCGACAGAATCGAAGGACTCCGAACCCTTAGCCGCGTTGTCGCTCTTTTCGCCCATTTTGTCTATGACTTTGTTCGAGAGCCAATTGCTTCGCTCGACTTCTCGAACAGTAAAATCATCCTCGAAAATATTGGGCGACAATGGCGCTTTGTTATCGTACTCGTTACTGTTCGCGTCATCGTCCGCGATCTCAGTAACTTCAAGCTCGTTCCTCTCGGCAACGTTATTCCTTTTGTATACTAGCTTTGCTCTAGATGGCGCTGGTATATGCGCTTCTTCCAATTTCACGTGCTCGAAGAATTTGGTGAGGGCGCCGCGCTGCAATTGGACCGAGGACTCGTTTCGTTCGCCTGATTCCAGGTGGTAGTCTTGACGATGCAACTGCTGCCGATTGAGCGAGAAGGAATCTTTGTCACCTGGGCCAAAGTCTCGTGGCTCTCGAGAATTATCGGTGACGATATAGGACTTGTTATGGCCTGCGAACAATGAGTGGAGAAGACCGCCGGATCTTGGCCTGTACTTGGTACGACCGCCGAAGAGGCTGGCTGTCTCCTCTGGTTCCGTGGACTTGACGATTTGTAATTGCTTATCGGATTCTGTATTATCGTAGGAAGGCAGTAAGATTTCGGTGGCTCTGGCAGATCGCAGTTGGTTGATACCGAATTTGTTTCTTGGCTGCTTGGCTCGGGACTTTCGGCCGTTGAACGTCGATCGCTCCAGCTGATATTCGGCCGTGATGGAGAGATTTTCCGTGTCGATGATTCGATTGAGTGCGGGAACTGCGCGATTTGTTTGCTTCTTGCGGTTACGACTGACGGAGTCGGACAACTGTTTACCGACGAGCATCGAGGAGTGGGCGACAGAGATTTCCGCCTGAACGCGGGGGTTGTAGCCTGGTGTGATTGGCAGTTTATAGTTGAGCAATGTACCGTGACTTTGGTCTTCGGAAGACTGACTTGCCCTTCTTGCTGGCTCTGCGATCTTTTTGACGATGAGGTATGACTGATGCTTCTCGGATTGGACACTGGTGACGGGTAACTGGTAGGCGTAGGACACTTGGGGCTCTGTCCTGTCGATATAGGCGATGCTCGATCGAGGCAATTGATTAAGGACGATGGAGGAGTAGGGCACGCTGCTTTCTCGTTCGATGCTGATTGCTGAAGAGGTCCTGACATCCGGCTGGTTGATGGTTGATGCGGCGACATTGTTCGAGGAGATTGGGATGAGGAAGGTCGAGGAAGGAAGTTGCCCGATTCCGATTGAGCCGGAGAATCCCCGCTTTTTCTGAGTTGCATCAACTTTATGAAGTCCACAAGTCGTTTTATAGATCTCTGCGTCTTCTCTTGTTTTCCTAATAATTCCTGGCGCGTGCGCTGTTGCAGCTGTTGAAAGAAAAATTAAACGATTATTTACATATAGTACTATTGCTTCGAGATACGAATTATAATTAGCGCCCATTTTCTATTTGGCGATGTCAGAACGAAGATACGCATGCTCTTAGTACGTAATTTAACGAGAAGTCTAATTTTGAGTATGTCCCACCGAATTTGTAATACATACATACGATGCTTTCGTTTTTAAACGTTTTTCTTATGCATGTATTTTTTGTGTACACTAAGTCGACAGTTAACTAAGTGCTCTAACACGAAATACATAAGCAGTACATAATTTAAATTGAAGAAGTAAAAATGAAATATTCAAAACACTGACATTTGAACTATATATGAAGGAAGCATCGTGCATTCCGTACTTTCACGGATTAACGAACAAAATTATTGCTGTAGGCAAATGGTACGTTTATCGCGTGGAATGGTCCGCATAAAAAACCGATTTACATACGTATATAAGCCCTACAGCAATGACGTTAACAGAAACTATAAAATATCAGAAAAATCGATTTTTTTATAAGCTAGAAAAAGCGATAATTAGATTTGTTATAAAAAAATCGATGTATCTCCGAGAAACAATATTCACAACTGAAGAATAAAAATGTAGAGATCTTGCAGGTTCTCACTGATGAAAAAACAAAAGCTGGAAAATATTTACGAACAATTTCATGAACTGAACAGCATTCCAAATGAAAAAAAAAGTTTGTGAATTTTTTTCTACGCAGGCCACAGGACGAACCTGAAGGGACTGGCAGAGTAGTTGTGAGCGTTTTTCCAACTCGTAAACCTGCAATCTCAGATCCGAGTTTCGCTCGCGCAGCTCATATCTTTCTCTCTCTTTCTCCTCTGCAAGATATTTCGCGTTCAATACACGTTGCTTTTTTGAGCCCTATTACTGACGATCGACCAAAAAGTTCTTCTTAATTGCAAATTCTTCTGCTGTATTCGAGGAGCCGGTCTCACTCGCGACACTTCTTCCGGCAGGCTGCTCTCTCGTTTATTCTCTCTGTGTGCTTACGCTCAATAAAGTCTGCGGCAACGCTGCGATACCTCGTTGCACGTTAAATCTAGAAATTGTGGACCCATGTTACACAATTTCCTGCTTTTCTTTTAAACACAACTTGTCTGCATTATCTACAAGTACTTTTTCCCATCTTACTGCTCGCGCAAAAGAGTCTTTTTCTCTGCTGCGTAAATGAAAAGATACACGTTCGCTTTTGGTTATCAAGTATAACCAAAAGAGTCACTTTCGTTTAAACGTTATCGTTCTCTAATTAAAAATACATATCGCAATACATCGAATCATCCCGGACGGTGCCGCCGCGAAATGAGATAAGCGTGCCACGAACATTCATCAAAGCTAGTGTCTGCAGGAAACAAGAACTTTTTTGTCAATCACACGATCAACGTTACAACAGGTAGAAATCCTTTGAAAAACAAAGGACGATTTACCGAATTCTTCGTCCTTCTTAAACGACGAACGTCCGTCTTCCTCCTCGTCCGCCTCTTCGCCGTCTTCCATCTCTTCCTCGTCCAGTAACGCACATTTCGGGCATATTCTTTGCGGTGCTGGCGATATAGAGTGGCAAGACACGTGATAATTGGACGCGCAATTTTCGCACACCGTCAATGTACCTGTAGTAACGTAAAACGCATCGTGAACATCTAATAAAATATTGTTACAATCAAACACATATAAATCTACGAATCATCGTATGATACCGAGTATGTACCTGGATTCCTACAACTTATGCAAACTGCTGAATCACTGCTGATCCTCTCGATAGTTAGACTGGAAGGTAAACCGGGTATATGAACCGCTTTGTTGCCGATCGACTGAACGGACTTTACGGTGGGCACGGGCAACTGAATCTGGCTAGGACCATTTTCAACCTTGCTCTTGTTAGCGAAAACTTTACTCTCCGTGACGTTTCGGAGAATGTTCGGTCGAGTGCTGGACTTTTGAACCGGGATCAAAGATTTCATCACCGTTTTGGACGCTGGTGGTGACGCTGATTTCGGCGGCGCTACTTTTACGGGAGGTGGCGACGGTCCGTTCATGCGTGCCGTTGTTTGTCGAGTTTGAGGAACATTTCCTGACTGCAGGTACGAGTGTCTCTTCCGTTTCTAAACAAAGATACAACAAACATACAACATGCACAAACTTTACGCGCATTTTACGAGATATCTACCGTTGGCACTTCCACGCTGGAATAAATGAAATGCGGATTAGCCGTGCTACGGCGTTTCCTTTCGGCCCTCTTGTTTTGCAATTCGGAACAAGTCGCAGTGGTGATTAAACCGAGAGCGTTCAAAAAATTAATTTTTTCGATCGATTCGACTTTGCAGTCCTTCTCCGAGTCCTCTTTCTCGGATTTCTCGTTGGAATTCTCGTCCATAGAGACTTCGATAACGTCGTCCTCGCCGGAAATCGTTTCCACAGAACTGGGCCGTTCCCTGAAACCGAGCGTTCGTTATCAGGAATTTTATGAAAAGAACCAGTTAAGTTAACGCGATATTCAAATGACAACTTACTTCGCTGGCACGGTGTCTTGCGTGGGCGAAGGGACATCGCCGTTCCTGACGATCTCCTCGTAATCCTCCTTCGAGCTCTTCGTGCTAAAATCATCGCCACCGGTCTTGCATCTCGTTTCATTATTATTCGTTATATGATTATTGTTGTTCAAGCCGAGCAACGACGCGATGGAAACTTTCGCCCCGTTCGCATTCTGCGCTTTGAACGCTTCGACCTCCTTGCGCAGCCGCTGGACAACTTGCTTCTGCGTATTAAGAATTGAAAACTATCAGCGTGAGCTTCGGTCAATGACGATCGCGGAAAACTTTCTTGGCAGACTGTGTGCATGTCGCTGATCGTTTAAATACGCGTGTCGTTAAGCTGCGAGCAGAATGTATTCTTAGAGGATGCACTGTTCTATAAATCAAGAAAATATCTTCGACCGACCAAAGGGTCACATTATGCGGACACGGTAAACCACCCGCCGCAATGAAATTACAAATTATCGGTTTAAATTTATATTCTGCCAAGAAAATCTTCGCGATGATCAAACATTCATGTATTCCCTGAAAGCATCGCTATAAAAATTGGAACAAAATAGAGAATTGTAAGGGGATACTCTGACAATCAATACACGCATATTAATAAAAATATTCTGATTTTCGCAAGAAACACCATGTGATTTGAATAAAAAGTTTTTATTCGTAACCCTCGCAATAAACGTCGCCAAAGAAGGGTAGAACAATGTAACCCCCATTGTACAAGAGCAAAAAATTCTAGTTATGCCACCTCAATAATCAGTTAAAAGATATTCCGGACAGTTTGTCCGTGGGTACATAGAGCGTCCCGACGCGGAGCGGCGTCGGTGCCGAGGAACTTGGCGAAGTTTTCGCGAGTAAACGTTTAACTCGATAATACAATGAACAACGAGCGAAGGGAGCTTGATCGCGTTGAAACGAGCGTTGAAAAGCGATGAAACGATGAGAGGAGAAGAAACAATGTGGCAAGGCGGAGGAAAGCTAAAGGAACGGAAAGAAGAGAAGGAAATAGGGGAGGGAAAAAAAATGCGGAGATCTCGTAAAGAGCTGAAAACGTTTCTGCGGGACATTTTATTGATTGAGCCCCTCCGCCTCTGCCCCTACTCTGCTTCCTTTTCACCCAAGTCCCATTCGCTCTCTCTTTCCAACTATCTCTCTCGTCTCTCCCTGTCTCATTCGACCCCCGTTGCACCCTTGCCGCCCACCACCCGCCCGATGTATCTGTATATACAAGCCTCTCTCTCGGTCTCCGCCGCTTTCTCTTTTCCCATTTCTATTCGTTTACGTATCTCCTTTGCTCCGCCAGCAATCTACCTGGATCGGTCGTTTATCGTCGACGAATAAAAAGAATAGGAGAAAAACGGCGGGGAAGAAGTTCGAAGAAAACACGGGGGGAATGAAGGAGGAGCAGCGTCGTCGACGGGATTATCGCGAAAATGTTTAGACGAGGATGCTGTGCGATCGCAAAGCGCATCCACCGGAGCCTTTTCGGGGCAGACTTGGCCCCCGCTATCGATTCTTCGCGTCGATTCGCGAATCTGGAAAAGAAACGCGCACCTATATAACGATATATTTTATAATACACGAGACCGTCCGACGGGCGGTTCTTGCGCGCCTGGAAATCCGATGGTCGAACACGGTTTCGCGAAACATAAATTCATTATTACTTTGGTGTTAGGTTTCATTTATCGTTAAATAATAATTGTGGAAATTTAGAACTCGTGTATTTAGGATTTTTGGAGAGAAACTTGCGATTTCGAGACTCTGGAATCTCAAACATTTGAACTTTCAGGTTCTTGGAATTTTGGAGTTCTTGAACTTGCAAACTTTGGAACTTCGAAACTTTTGTGAAACTTCCAAATTTTTAACTTTGGGGCTTTTTTAAATTTCCTCTGCAAGCGCTTTAAAACGACATTCAAATTACGCTGGCAATTGATCGTGACAAAAGTTTCTGTTAATCACGCGCAACAAAAGCTATTCGCAACTTTCGTCGCGCTGATAACGTTCAGTGTACGTAGTGTGGCGGTTTCCGTTCCGAAGTATGCATTGAAAGGGGTTTTTTACGCTCGGCTCACATCTCCATTAGGAAAGACGATATTGTTAGGATATAATGTACGAGTGGAGGAGGCGGGATTATTATAATGTAACAGCTTCGATAATGTGGCGAATAAACTTACGAAAGACGAGTAAGAAAGGGGATATTCGAGTGATAGCGAGCAGGGTATCTGTTTGCGTTTATCCGCGACGCGATCGACAAAGTTTGGAAAGGTGGTCGTAAACTCGCTCAACGAGTTCGCTATTTAATTATAACTGTGCGTTACTCGTAGCGAGCATCGTGCGAAGAAATGGCAAGCTCGAGCTTCCATATCGAAAGCTCGCGGTTCGATAACGTTCGAGAAATTCTCGGTGAACGACGTTTCGGGAAATTAACAGACCGCTCCACTTTCGGAGCAATCGACGAATTAACGATAATTTACGATAGTGTCATGTAAACTTGTTCGATCGGTTTCCGTGAAATAGAAAGACATGTATCGATTTAAATCTTAAGGAGCTGCCATTTTGATAAAATTCGTTAGACAAAATGGCTGGCAGCCAGTTACGGCAGTGATCGATTTCGGAACCTATAGTCTGACACGATGACATAAAACTATCGCGAACTAGATCATGTTAATCCGCAGCTTGACGTTTGTTGAAAACAATTGAATCTTTAGTTCTTAATATAAAATTGTTGACAGCCACTCGGTTGCTGAATAGAATAATTTACGAGACAAGTTTCAGACAACCGCTTAAGATATTTGTGAAAATTTATGCGTTCGACGTTAAGCTTGAAATTGCTGAAGCACTATTTTACCTTTTTGTTTCATGTATTTATCATACAGTAACTTAATATCATTTTCTGTTAAAAATATTCTTCGGATATTTCAATTACTTTGAGCGGCTACTTTCCCGAGAAATTACTTAAATATCAGATTATTTCGATGCACACAGATAGGGAACCAAGAACAAACCTGCCCTGGATCATAACGGAAAAGTGAAGCTCGAGGAAATCAATTCTCAACTTACCTGGCATCTTCCCAACGACACGATGTGCAAGTGAATCTTTTGTATCTGACCAAGGATGTCCGTATTCTGCAAAGTAAGGGAAACAATTTGGCGTTAAACTAGCGATTTGTTTTATATTTATAGATCGTTGTCTATGAACACGAAGCCTCTCCTTGTCGACGCGCAACGAAAACAAAAGACCCCGATTATTTCGAGTGAAACTATATAAAAACTTAGGCTAACGTGACTCTCAAAATTATTTGTTTATTTCCAATGTACTTCTCTGTAATGACTGTCATTTTTACATTTTGTATGTACTAATTCTTTTTCTTTTTTTTTTTTCGCGTAAATTTTCAATTGAACCGTTTTGGTTTTAAAAGAGAAACGAAGGTACATTGTTTTTTCGAACAAAAGTATTTTGTACGAATTTCTCTGTATAGATTTTTGTAACGCTAATTAACAGATCTATTAAAGCAATATTTTTGATATCGAAACAGCAATGGACGTTTTATCCGACATTGAATGCCCAGCTGCATAGTTGCATCGATCGACATTCGCTCGAATAATCGGGATTCTACCGTGTAAGTTTTCACATTCCCTCAGCATCAGAAGATACATCGAGTTTATCGCAGTTATGACATAACAGTTGACGACGATTGTATACGCGTGGGTATAATTGATGTAATAGTAGCTACAGCCTAATTACAATTATAATCTATGTATTCGATAAGAAACATTCTTGTTCATAGTCCGAAGTTTTACATTTATACTTTATCACAATTTATTATTTCCACTTTCATGTTTTAAAATTTTTGAACTGTTAATTTCCTACGTCTTCAAATTTAACAATTATTCTTTTCGTTATAGTTTCAAATTTCAGAATTTCTAAAGTGCTATATTTTTTAAAAATTAATTGTGAATTTCCTGTGTCTTTAAATTTAGAAATTATTCATTTATTACAGTTTCAAATTTTAGAATCCCTAAACTACTACATTTTTAAAATTTAATTGTTAATTTCCTACGTCTTCAAATTTAAAAATTATTCATTTATTATATTTTTAAATTATAGGATTATTTTTCTACATCCTCAAATGTTAGAATTTTAAGTTTCTATATTTTCAAACTTCCAAAAGTCACATGACTTGGTATAATAATTTATCATATTCATATCAAATACATTTATTTGAATTCACCTTACAAAGTGTAACGAATGGTAAGTACATATTTGTTCGAATAAGAAACCGATTTCTCTCGAAGAATATCAATAGATCGAACACAGTGAAATGATAAAACGGTTTGCCATCAGATCAATTGCGAGGCCAAAAATAACCTATATAGGAACTTCTACAATAAGAGCAACGTTGTTCCCTAGGATGTTACCAACAGGCACACATCACCGTATGTTTACCAAATCCAAATCAATCTATAAGATTAGCGAATGTAAACGACTTACGTTTGGGTCATCCTTCAGTTTGCCCACGCAGATCTGTAACACGAGAAAATTCAGAGTTAATAACTTCGTTGAGACAGCTCGAATGTTTGCCTTTAAAATATCATAGACGGAAGCTTTTAAAATGTGATTGTTTCACTCTGCGACGCAATAATGCAATTACCGTAGTACACTGTGCTTCGATCTATACCGAAGAAAATATACCAACATCGAATAAATATTTTAAATCAATTATTGAAAAAATTTTCTATAAATTTTGGTTCGAAGGTATTTAAAAAATATTAAAAATGTGTACCTGCATCTTAGACTTATTTAAATAAATTTTATAATATTTAAATAATAAACAAAATAGAAACCGTTCGATGAGAATCGCATCGACCGTGAAACAATAATCACGTACGAAATAAAAATAAAAACCTGCGTATATAAATTTATTTATGTACCGATACATAAAATATTATATATAACGTCGCTTCTAAATAAATATTTTCCACGCATATAAGATGCGCCGCGCTATAAAAAATCTTTAAAAAACGCTTTATAATATCCGCGAAAAACGATATTACCGCGCACCTGTTCGACTATCGACGTGCAATTCAAATGCCCATCGAGCGAGAACAGGTTTGTCCTATCCGGTCGGCAAATGCGCCGTGCCTGAATATTGATTTATTTATCTAACTTGATAAATTCGTGATAAACTATTCCGACTATTAACTGACAGCACTACAATATCCAAATATTTTATGAAAATTCTACCTTTGATCCGAATCATCAAATAACAATGGCGGACAAGGATTTTGGACTAAACCGGATTTCCCAGGTTTACTAACCTCAATGTTCCGCGATAAATTCCTTTTGCAAATTTAGAATTTTTTAATTTAATTTGAGCAAAGATATTCTGAAATTTATAACTTTAAAAGATTCACAAGGACGAGGTATCCGTCCATGTCCGTTACGCCACTGAAAAAATGATGGGAACCGAGAATCGAGTAGTATCGATCGATCGAAAAAATTCGATTTCGACTAGGAGGAACAAGGTCGGTAGAGCAGAGCGAAGTGGCAATTGCGCGCGTGCAAACTTTCCCCCGGTACGTATATCCCTCTAGCGTTCTTACTAGTTAATAAAAGTTCCTTCGTAAACGATCGAAATGGATACACACGATTCGATAATGGTTTCGTGCGTTGAAATACCTTGAACCTTCGAACGTTTACAATGCAAAGATTACCGACGAACTCTAACAAAGGATCTTCAATAAGGGTCGAACGTTCAAGAAATGTACCGAATTTCTCCATATCTACCTACACGGAATTATCGTAAATTTGCTATATTAAAATAAAACGTGGTTAAAAACATAACAAAAAGTATATTGTAAATTGAAGTTTATCGTTTGGAACAAAGAAAAAACTAGGTAAAGACAAAAGTAATCGAAGAAAGAAATATAGGAGGTATAAGAAGGAAAGAGAGGGAAATCGAGCGAACAAGCGAGGAACTGAATGAACGAACGAGCAGAAGAGAGAGGGAACGAGACAAAATGTTGGTTCTCAAAGTCATGCGACGCATCGGTCGAAGCACTCTACCAACAAAGGTTAAGGTCTGAACACTCGTTCACCTTCAAGTTTATATGATTCGTAAAAAAAATCACCGTTCGATGCGAAAGCTTGCACCATGATTGAAAGCGAACAAAAGTTCCTTTGAAACTTGTTACGCTTCTTTCACTTTCGATAACGCGTAACGTAGCTTCGATGCAGCCGAGGAAGAAACGGTACTACGAATATCCAATACGAGTGAAAGAAGCGTCGGTAGTTTTCTAATATCGGAGGGACACGTATGCCGCATTAACAAATCAATTTCCGTTCGTATCCGCGATAAATCGAGTATCTTTGTACGGGATCGTTATTTCATATTTCCAAAAGCTGCCATCGAGTTACGAGTTCCGTAAATATAGTATAGGCGTGCATTTATGCACGCGCGCGCGTGATTGATGCGTACATGCGTTCGTACACGCATTCTGCATGAAAATGCTCGAGAAAAGTGAGTCGCGAATGGAATTTATCGAATAAAAACGCTTCGATTCTCGTTTACTTTCCCCCGAAACAAACTTACATCCGGAAGTTAAAACTTCTCGAAAAGTTTTCCACTTTACAAGTCGATTATCTATCGAACGTGCTATCTCGATTTTTTAATCGATAGGCAACTGCGTGTCGAAAAAAATTAAAAAAAAGAAAGGAGAGACGTTTTCTGATGAAAGAAAATAATTCGTTAAATTGCTCGCATCGCTCGCCCGTTCGTTCGGTTTCGTTACTCTCAATCTTTAAATCGTTATCGACATACATGCACGGTCGCGGGACTCACCTGATGATCGCGTATGGCATTTTTCAGCTTATTTTGCACGCTGAGTATTTCTTCCTGCAAACTCTTCGATATCTCCATAGTTTAATATCGAGTTTGTCCGTTTTTCCTCCCTGTTCAAAAATCCGGCCGATTTTAGCGAGAGAAGAGGAGGACGGGAAACCCCTCCTCCCTCTCACTCTCACTATCCCACCAAATCGACGAGAGCAGCGGTATACGCTCTGATCAACCGCACGCACGGCGCGCACCAGCCACTAACTCTTCGAACCACCGCAACGACACTCGATCGTTTTAACTTAGGAAAAGCGGACAGGTGAAAATGTCACAGACACATTTTCCCGGTCCGTCGCGTGCGTGCATATGCACACCCTTGTTTCACGACACAGACCGGACGAAACAACGTCGTGAAACCGCGCACCAAAGTGAATTGTTCGCTCATCAACGAGCGTCTGTGCTGCCACCAGCACTGTTGCCTCCGTACACGGACGTGCCAAGTTGCTCGAGATCCCCTGACACCCCTGGCCCTTTCCTGCGATCTCTCTCTCTCTTTCTCCCTCTATCACCCCTTCTTACTCCCACCCGACGCGCTCCGTGCCCAGGGATCCGACGCGCTCCTTGAAAGCAAGTTTTCGCGCCAAGCTATATATACTCTGTTCAACGAGAAACCATACTTGATTCGCGCAACTCGACCAACTTCACGAGTTTCACCACCAACTTGATGTTGTTCCCACTTTCATACGCTTTCTACTTCGCCGGTCATATACACCATGTTCAAAACATACGCGCAACAAAACCGAGAATAACCAAACTTCAAAATTCTGCAATCTGTCAACTTGACAAGTTAGAAATTTAATAATTTGCAAATTTAGAAATTCCGAGACTCATGAATCTAAAAGTTTGACAATTTACAAATTTGGGAATTTGAGAACTCAGAAATTTTGATCACCGAGTATACACGCTCCGCGCCAGGAACGTCATAAGATTACGGAGCGTAGTCAAACCAATCAGAGCTGACATGCGCACAATGAATGAAAACTCGTATGATGAGTATAGTTTGTCGTTGAACAGAGTATAACCGGTAAGCGAATCACGCGGAAGTACTTTTTAATTTGTACTGCAATGTACAACCGCATAATGCGTATTGTTCGTTCGTTTCAAACGATCACTAGAAACTGCGCTTACAAACTTCTGAAAACACGGTACACTCGAAGAAAACATTTTCCCGAAGTAAACCTTTTATGATAGGGAACGTTGGTAATGCCCACGATAGTGGCGCCACATATTTGCGATTACGAAACGAAACAAAACGCTGTTCACGATAGGAGAGGAGCGTGCTCGCTTTCCCAAAGCTCGAAGGCATGTTTCGGAATTTCTGCACATTTGGAGACACGTCTTAATATGGCTGCACTTATTGGGCGCATTGTAATAAATTAATGTCTGGATCCTGTGATTTATCTTCGTTTGGTTTTACATCCTACTGCAACAGAATTGTTTAAACGAGCACGTTAAACTGTTATCCTTTTACGTAATCTTTTTTTAATTTGAAGATGATCTTTCTCTTTCATCGATTTAGAAAGGAACGCTAATGTTTGAAATTAATGAGACGAATGTGAGAACTCAAAATTTATTTTATAGCACAGACAAATATTGTATGACAAATATGTTACTTGTACAATGTGGAATTTTTATTTCTTTATAACTATCGTACTTCTTAAATTATACTTTATATTATTTATAATTAATTGTATGATAGCGAATATTGTACTTTGTAACCTGTTTATATAAACGTATATGTATAAGAAAATGTGATGTTTAAATCGATCATCTGCACGCGATAGTATATCACGTGATCATTCATCATATACCGACATTATAGGCTAGTTTAACGAATATAGGACGATGTAACAAATTTCTTTTAATTCATGAAATTGTACCTATGTTAGGAACAAATGTATGTTCTTCTGCACATAGGTGCGTTATTGACATCATTATTTCGTTCATTTTTATCGAGTTTAAAACTTTTTTTCAGAATTTGTTTACTGTATAAGTTACATGTCTCATGCACGTAAAAGTTTAAAAATATCAAAAAATACAGTATACAGCATCAATATTAGTTAAAAATGTCCTTTAACTTTAATGAATTGCATAATTAGTTAATTATTAGATTTGTAAATAAATAATAAATGCCAGATATGAAAATAAAGAAATTTTTAACATTTTTACGTAATCTATATTATTTAACTATAATTACATATGTATTTTAACGAGTGAAGAACGAATAGTTGGTTTAAATTAATTGTTTATCAAAATGAAATGCGTTCAAACTAAAGAAGTTATTTGTCTACTTATAATGATTGTTGTATTTAAACTTATTTTAAAATAAATTTTGTTACCTTATTACTGCATGTAAGATGAGAAAGATGTCTACATCACATGCACGCTGCATAAAATAGAACTGAAATTATTATAATTTTGTCGTTTAACCTTTTAAGATTAAGTTTGTTCATTGGATATGTAGTATAAGCATAATCAAAAATACGCATGCGCGTACTACAAAAAATTGTATACTAGCGTTCAACTTTGTAGAAGTTCTTATGTACTATAATCACATATATCGTTGTAAATGTACCGAATTTATCTTACTTAATTTATCTATGGTTTTAAACATACTACGGTAAATATTATGAAATTATTTCTTTTATGTTTTAATTATAGGAAATCTGTATATCGCTCTTTCTACTTAGGTTAGGTGTGAGGTTATGCTACAATTTTTCTCTGCTAATAAATTATTATATCTTACTCGCTTATAACAACTAATATTCAGTTACATTTATTTATGTACATATAGTATGATGTAATGAAAAATTTTCTATATTTATTATAATAATTATTCTTATATAATCTATATTATATACACATGTATAACATTTAATTCAACTTTATCTTGCTTTTTGTAAAAATGTTCAAGTGGCTGTATTTAAAAAAGTGTGTTTACAACAATGGCTAGCAAGAGGTCTGCAACCACAGAATTAAATCACGATAATTGGGATGAAGGAGAATGTCCCGAAGAAGCAGGAACTTTTAAAAAGGCAGCTGATGATGTGCTTGAGAAAAGAGTTGTAAAAAGAGCTAAGCGCCGCTTGCAAAGTGGAGAAGTAAATACCATCTTATTCATATATTTCTATCTTCAAATCTATATACATTTTTTTCTACAAACTTTTTAGGATGGTACCAGAAGTGCGTTTGGTACATTTACAGGTTTTAAAACGTCGCCCAATACATCTAATACATCATTATTTACATTCTTAACTAATAGTAGTACTAATGCTAATGCTAATGATACTTCCTTAAAAACACAAGCAAATATCAGCAAAGCTCCCACAAATAGCGAAGCTCCCAAAAGTAATGAAAATGGCACAAATAAAAAAGAAAGTTCGGAAATACAAACATCATTGAGTGCATCCACAAATAAAAAAAGTGCTCCTGATCAAGAAGATCAAAATAAAACTAAAAAGTCTTCAGAATATTTTGCTAAGTTGAAAGGTTTAAATGAAAGCGTGGCACAGTGGATTAAAACACATGTTGATGCTAATCCGTTTTGTATTTTAACACCTATTTTTAAAGATTATGAAAAATATCTTAAAGACATTGAATCAAAACATGGAAATGAAATGGAGAGGGGATTTCATGTAACAGATCAAGCACAACCTACCCTTACTAATGATAGTAAGGATGCTGCAAACACTGAAAAGAAACTAGATACTACCTCATTTGGTGGAATAAATACAAAACCTACTGTCAGTACGACAGAATGGAAAACTGACAAATCAATTTTTGGCAATATTAATACAGGCTCAAAGTCCATATTTGGAAAATCAGAACATACTGTAGATAGTAATAAATCCATATTTAGTAATACAGACCAAACTTCAGATGCACCTAAATCTGTATTTGGTAACATTGATCAAAAACCTGGTACTAAAAATATATTTGGAAGTATGAATTATGAAAAGAATCCATTTTTGAGTAAATCATCATTACCAGATAATAAATCTGATGAACAAGAATCAAAATCAGATGCAAAAATTACTGCTACCAGCACCTTTTCTGCAACAAATACTAGTACCTTCTGTTTTGGTCAAAGTTCCACTACTACCAATACATCAACTGGTTTTAGTTTTGGAAGGTAATTTATTTAAACTTTTCAGTTGAGGCACAAATATAAAAAATATAACAATCTTTTATCTTGTAGCGCTAAACCCTTCACTTTTGGAGCCCAAGCTGTAAAACCACAAGATACTGAAGAAAATGAAGAAAAAGAAGATGAAGACGACGAACCGCCAAAAACAGACTTTAAACTAGTAACCGAAGAAGGTGCCATATATCAACAAAGGTATTATTTTCAATATATTCTAATTAATATATAGAGGATGTGTCACTTTAACGTTGCTGCTTATAAAATGGATTCTTATATTATCTTACAGGTGTAAAGTGTTTGTTAAAAAAGATGGTAGCTTTAGCGACAGGGGTATTGGAACATTGTTTTTAAAGCCAACGCCAAACGATAAAACACAGCTATTAGTACGCGCCGAAACTTCTTTGGGAAATTTATTGCTCAATACTTTATTAACCGAGAGTATTCCAACAAAACGTATGAACAAAAATACAATAATGTTGGTTTGCTTACCAAAACCTGAATCAACACCACCTCCAGTACCAGTTTTGTTAAGAGTAAAAACAGAGGAAGATGCTGATGCATTGTTTGAGGCACTTAATAAACATAAAAAATAAGGACAAAATAAGAATGGTAAATAACAGAATAACATAATACAGGAAACAACGTAATAAAATTGTGTTGAACAGTGACTAATGATTTTTTTAAATCACACAATTTTGTTGTTACTCACATTAATTGTATGATTTTTATCCTAAATGCATAATATAAAAGAAAATGTAAAGTAGAAGTAAATTAATTTGAATACTTTTTATTCTTGCATAAAATAAGTGGCATGACATCATTGCTATGAGTAATGTTAATATACGAACGTATCATTCAAAAATAAATGTGAATCAGTTTGGACTTATTAAAATACTTTCTTTGTTGGTAAATCTATCGCAGTACTTGTAACGTGACAAGTATATGATGAATTCATTGTACATATTAGTTTGAACTTCTTTTATATTGTATCTCGCAAACATAAACAACATTACATCAAATCTTTAAAAATATCTGTTATATTTATAGTTTATATTGTGTCTTTTGGAATTATATTGGTTTTTAGAATCGTATTTTTGTGAAATATTACCTGTGTATTTGATGAACGTTTTGATATAAAATACAGTGAAACCTCTATCCGTCATTTTTGAATGTACTTACTGAACTAAATGATAAATGCGGGAAAATTGTAGACGAAGGAACGTGCGATTCGATATCGATTATTCGAGAAACGATGGATCGAAGTTTCACTGTACTGCTAGCGAGTTAAGGAAATTAACTGGTGTAAACAGAATGTGAGTAAATATGATTATTGTAATTTACATTCCTATAGTTTAAACACTGATGTTCGAATGAAGTTTGTTAAAAATTTTGGTGATACAAGGGGAAAATTCTTTGAAACAGTTGTTAAAAATATTTGAAGATTACTTCAAACGAATAATAAAAGTTAATCGTTTCATTTCTGAATATGATAAATATTCATGTTCCTATATTTACATTTTATTATATAAATTAAAACTCACCTGCTCTTTTTTTATTACATATAGACCCATCAATGTTTAAATGTATTATTCACTCATCGATTAATCACGTTTATAAGCAATAAATACATTCAAACATCGTAAATAAAAATTGTCGTATTAGTTGAAAGTTTTTGGTTAGTATAAATAAAGTAAATTTCAGACAAAATTTTCATCATTCATAGTGTATTTACAATTTGTTATGCAATATTAAACGCATATATCTTCTAATGTACAGAGTTACAAGAAATTATTTTTAAAAATGTTAATGTATTAATGATATATTACTTTCTTCAACTACTTATAAGCAAAAGAACATTAAATTATTTTTTTATAAAATAAAATGCTTCATTTCTAGCATGATAATTTAATTTTAAATTCTTGTATAATGTTAATGAAAGCTGCCACTGCACAATGCCTGTTTTATTTACAACAGCAATGTCAATTTAACTTCAATTTAATAATTAAATAAGTATGTAATTTTTTATGTTTAAATCGTAAAATTGGTATGTAAATCTTTCAAACATGAACATTCTTAAATGTTTAATGCAATTAACAGCACAGCACATTATTCTAAAAATTATTTATAGAATATGACTTAAAAAAACAGTTTTAGAAACATTGTATGTACAAAAGTAGTGTACCATATATTTGCATCTTAGTAATATAGATCAGATCTAAGCAATTCATACTTTTCGATCCGTAGACAGTTTTGTATAGTGTCCGTTAATGACGCCAAGAAGCCATGAAAGACGCGCACTTTTCTTGGTAAGAGACATTATTGTATTGTTCTCTTGTCCCAAAATGTGGCCATTGTTCCTTTAGGTTTTACTACCATTGACGAGTCATCGCCCGTAGTAATAAAATTAATTGTTCTAGGATCATCGAATTGCTCAGGCCTGATGTAGATACTCTTTACTACTGATATGCCCTATATAAAAAGATAATAAAATAAAGTTGAATTTTCTTACAAAATATTGTGGTATTATGTTTCAGTAATGTACATATTTTGTGGGTATATTGACAATTATTTTCATTTTTGCTAAGCCCTTTGGGCCATAAATGGTGTTAGGGCACCTCTTTGCCCAAGACCTAACTGTATATGTTGCATGTGTATTTCGACACAGTTCTGAAATACTTGTTGGTTTTGTGGACTTAATTTGGAGCGTATCTGTTCCATAGTCCCTTGCAATACTTTCAATTCATATGCATTTCGATCTGAATCGGATAAACTCTGAAAGACGAAGATACTTATGTTATATGAATAACGATATTACGAGTAATAGTATTTAAAATATTTCGTGCTACCTTTACTTGAAGCATAAGAGCCGTCAAATCTGTAACTAATTGTGTCATTTTTCCAGGTTCTTTATCGTTGATAACATTATTTCTATTAACCATATCAGCCGCTTCTTGTCTGCACTTTTCACGAAGGTGAGATGGTGCCAACATGGCTGCCACACTAGGTTCAGGAGCCATTTCCTGACATAGTTCTTGGACATCGTTTAGAAAATCTTGGAGAGCAGTATTCATTTTTTCTAGCTCAACCACGATTCTGGAACCAATATAAATGTTCACGAAAATGCACGAAGTTGAAAGTCGTATAAAAATAATGTATGAGCTAAATACCCCGCATATCTTCTTTCAAAATCTGGTGGTAGTGATTCTCCAAAAGATCGCCGCTTTTCTGCTTCACTATTCATTTCTCTTAACTTTTTAATCTTTATTTTTTTAGCAGATAATATTTTACTTACTTTAACCATAAATTCTAATAATTTTAAAGGATAACCATTCATTGTTCCACCAATATGAGATTTCTTTGGTAAAGACACGGAAGCATTTGATATTAAAGGATCACTATTTAAACGCGGCGACATTAATTTCATCGCGTACGGCGGAGATGGTACATATTGCACGTGTCTGGGTCTGAACTTTTGTGCAAACGAGGCAACACTTATTGTTTCTGGTGGTTCGTTTGACTGTAAATTATATGTTGATGTAAATAATCACTAAAGTTTTATATTGGTTGAAATTAAATTCGTATGTTACAAAACGGTTACATACGTACCAGTACTTCATAGTCTGGAACACTATGTGTTCCAAGTCCAGCACGTTCAAACGTTATCCTATAAGTGTTATTGCTAGTATCCACAGCATCAATACTTCCAGTAAATAATCCATCTTGTGGTTTTCTCAGTCTTGCTGTAACTTTGGTACCTATTACTAATTGTAACGGTATTTCTGGTGGTAGATCTTTGAAACTGTTAATATCTGCTGCTTTCCTTTGTTGTAACATTCGAATTTTTTGTCTTTTCCTTTCCAATTCTCGTCTTTCTTCCTCAAAAAATGACTGAGAACATCTTCGTGGCTTACCCATCATTCTTCTGATTTTGCACCATTCAACGCGTGTTAATTTTCGGGTTTTCAATTGCGGAAACGATTCTTTTAAACATATCATAAAATCATTATCACCTTCAAAAAGTGTTCTACAATAAAGGATTTTAGGTTATACGATGTTAAAGTGAAAATGCAAATAGACTTTCAATTTTTATACATACTTATCAATGTTACTGTAAAACCATTCATAACAAACCCATTTGTGAGCTTTTGGTAATTTTAACAAGTTCCTCAATCTCATACCAATCTTTTGCCCAATTTTACGGTCTGGAGACGAAGGTTGCATTGGTTTGTCAGGTTCTTTTTCTTGTTTAATTGGTGTCATTGTAGGTGTTAAGGACTGAGTTAATATATTATTATTCTTTTTTGGTTCATTAGATATTCTGTTGTGTTTCTTTGCAGGAGATGGTCTAGTTACTTTTTTTGGAGACTGCTTATTATCTGGATGTAATGAATCCTTTTTGATTCTACAACACGTATTGAAGTTAATGTTTTTATGAAATTTGTTTATAAATATATTTATAAATTAAAGAACATCAAATTTACCTGTGGTGTGGATGATTAACTAATATATCATCATAAAATAGTTTATTCTTTTTCCTTATTCTTGCTGGCATTCCTCTCCGATTCAAAACTTGCACAGGCTGAGTAGGAGGATTCGGTTTTGGTGGAGGTTGAGTTCCTACTCTTTGAAGTCCTAAAGCAGCAGGACCTAGTTCAGTTAATGGATCACATTCTTCTGTATCCATATGTGAATCAGTTGAATTATTTGAAATTTGTTGGTCATCCATGTCCATCGTATCATCATCGATCAACTCGGTTTTAATTTCGTCAACCGATGGATATCCATCATTTTTCATGGATAATAATGTTTCTGCAGATTCACCTAAATAAAAGGATTACTTTTGTATTGAATTTAAAGATATACTTATGTAACTATATAACACCATATTTTTACACCACGCTCTACTACTTGTGATTTAAATAGACCAACACATTTTAGCAGTTCATATTTAACAATCATTAGAATATAAAAGTAGTTAATTAATTATTATTACGAAAACTATTTTTTAACGACGTTATAGTTTCCCTATTTTAAACATTACTTAAAATTATTAGTTCTAAATCTTACACATAGTATGCTCTTGAAGAATCATCATTTATAAGAAACTGATATCAAATTATTGGTAATAATAAATACAATAATTTATTTATAAACGTAACATTTGCGCGCTTTCTTCTTTTCATAACTCCATTATCAGAACGTTATTCAAATCGTACGTCCGAGAGAAACAGAGAAATCGTTCTGCTCCGAATTGTCGACATAACCAAACTTATACTTAGTTCCGTAAACAGTATGTATACTTATCGCATTAGGACAAAAGTTATAGAATCGTTGATATTGTAAAGTTTATAAAGTAAACTGTCAAATAATCGTCTCCGAAGTGTCGTTTGATAAATGGAGCCTTAAATGATAAAGGTCTTCGTTGTCCCGCTTGAATTGTGTATTGGTCATTTTTGAAATTTTAAACCAGACCCTTCTGAGCGCAATTAAAACATCAATCGCAAGTTCGTAAACATCGCTCAAAAAACTCTTACGCATCGAAACAGTAGAGTTGGAAATGTTTCTTATTCTTATGCAGCTACTTTTTGTTTTTAATTAACCCTTATTATATTAATTTTATCAAGAATAAGTTAACTTTTACTTACTTTCAATCACGTCCGCCATGTTGCTATCAATGATGCATCATGGGTATGTTTCCGTCGAGCTCGCCCGCTTCGCGGTGAATTTCGTTAGTGGTTCTTTTCCGCCGTTCCAAACGCTATGATTGGTCGAAAACTACCTTTGAAATACTAAATCTGATATCGCGAAATTTTTAAACGTATCTTATGGCCGTATGCCATATAACGTATAATGTAACAGCGGAAAGAAAAGAGTATTTGAATAGATTTTGTGGACAAAATGAATATTGCTATATTGTACTCCAGTAATGGTCAGATCACGTGGCCTTCGAGGTGTTGATCCATAAAGATTTTAAATTTTCAAATATTGCGATATAGAAATTTCAAATGTTCAAGTTTTATAATTTAAAATTCTGGGAAATAGGATAATTTAATTTATATAAATGTTTACGTATGTCGTCAGAATTAAATATGTAATAAGTGTTTTGTAATACTAATGAGCGATATCGCTAATGAACGCATGTATAAATATGTATATACTTCCGATATTATTCACACGATAATGCATATTCTATTACTAACTTAACTCGTATGACTGCCACGGTTAAACATGTTACAAACATGTTATTTTTGGTTATTAATAATGACGTCGGTTAAGACCGACAATATTGTCTCGATCGAAACATCTGTGGCACCCGCCAAATACTGCCGAAATAAAGAAAGATTAATAACGACCGAAGAAAACGACGAATATTTGCTTATTAGTACCGAACTCGACACGATCGTTGTTTTGGAATGTCGATTTTGGTATCAGAGAAAACAACTCTAATTAAGACTGCCGCGTGATGATTATATTCATTTTACAGCAACGATAAAGAGGAGAGACAGTCAAAAATTTGGTACTATCAAGATCGCTACAGAGAAAATCCTGAAAAGGAAGTGGAATTAGGAATGGACAATAATTCCTCTTACAATAGAATTTACACGAATATCGATCTATCTTTGGTGATAAAAAATTTCACGACCTCAGATGCTGGAATTTATTTGTGCCACGGGGTAGAAGGACAGGAAGTGGAAAATAAATTCAATTACAGAATCGAACGTAAATAAAGTATTTGCAAAATATCGTTATCTTGATATGTAATTAATTAAATATTTTGTAACAGCTATCTTTAAAGAGCACGGAGTATCGTACACGGAACAGGGAAACATAACCGATTGGGAGAAATATCGCGAAATATATTTAGCATCGATTACCACGCGATTTGCTGTAAGGCTCTTATCAACTTATCGAAATATTGACATTACATATTGATCGTTTGAGATTTTAGGTCTCCCAAATGTCTGAGTTGGCTGAAATTCGAGAGGCCGGTGTAACGCTGCAGGTAACTTCTGAATGGGGACCATGGGGTCCATGTGAACATTGCGTTCATAACCGTGGATATAAAACAAGCACTGGAAGTTGTCGATTAAAACGACATATAGACATGGTCTATATCTATCATGATCTAGAAATCTTATGGTTTAATCATGTTTTCCATAGATTTATTTAAGTTGTGTCACTTTGAACTGATTACAGGCGATTGCCAACAAAAGCGATTCCTCTATAGTCAAATTTTTTCGAAGATCCCCTTCCTTGCCTTGCAAGTGAGTATCTTCAAACATACATCTTCAAATACATCTGAAATACATCTTCAAATCACGCGAAGCTATAAACCTAAAATATTTTATTCCAGATCAATTCTACTCGAAGAAGAATTCCCTGCTATCAGCAACGCGGTTCGTCATTTGCCGGAATTCATACTGAAGGAAACGTGCAAGAAATGTCCGCGCGAGAAGAAGAAGAAGGGTCGAAAGTTCAAATACCTTAAGCGATATGTACTCGCCGAAGGAGCTTATCTTACCGTCATTTGCCCAGAGTAGTTTCATACGTGCTCCCCGAGATGTTTCTCTCCGATAATCATAAACGTTTCAGGTCGACCATCGATACGCAGGTATCGTGGAAAAAGGATTCGATTACATTGGAAAAAGGTGTGCAACGATCTTTTCGTAAATTAGACCCGGAGGCACGTGTGATAGTGGACGCTTTTGGAACACTTTATCTCATAGGTAGCAAAGATATGTTATTTTAGACAAATTTCGAATTCCAAAGGTTTCATATTTGGGAATTGGAAAATTTCTAGTTTATTTTATTCTTCAAAGTTTATATTACAAGTCGTGTTACATAGCTTCACATTTTTCTATGTGTACGTATCAGATGTTTCAACCCATGAAGAAGGGAACTACACGTGCTACGTCGATGCAATTAACATGATGCAATTAAAAGTCACCGTAGTTCCTAAAACTAGACTGCTAACGCAGGGTAAGGTTCTTTCGCAAACCAGTTCAACGATATAACATTCTCTACCCTAACACGTTTTTTTTTAGAATTTCTACGCCACTTGGGATATCTAGGATTTATATTCCTACTCTGTTCAATTTGCTACTGCAGTGGCTTGGTTTACACATTTAGAAACAGAGAGAAGTTTAAAGTAGTGCAACCTGAAAACATCGCAACCGAAGACGAAGAACCACTGATCGATTAAAATTTATATTAGATGACTGGTATGCGTCAGGTGTTTAAGCACTACTGTTTCCTTGATTATTATGTTACTATTTGATGTCGTGTTCTTTTACCGACAGAGCCACATTTCTCGGCACAATTTCCTCGACACAATCTGTTCAAACAGGCGATGACCTTAAAGGTAGCCGAGTGAAAGGAGCCATGGGAGGGACAACTGCACGGTGTCTGCTCTTCATAGTTTAGTTTCAAAATGGCCGTGTTGGATGATTCCTGTCTGTTTGTTGCATTACTCACGATCCACGATTGAGAGCAAATTGAGACCAGATCATAATCGAAGACGGACTATCGGTAGAATGAGGCTTCGGACTGCTGTTGTTGCGGTACTCGCGATTCTTTGCTTGGTTCTGCCTTGTACAACCGGTGAGTTTCATGCATGCAGCTTATATGTGTACACATTGTGGACAATGTCACACTTTCACTGCATACCATGCTATTTATTGGATGGCGCATCCTTTCCGTAAACTGTTTTTTTGTTTTATTTGAAAATGCACAAGAATCAGTCTGACGAAACAAGTATAGAGTTGGTACGAGCTACTTGAATCGTGGTATAATTTATTGGTATTTCCTTTTAGGTTTACTCCGAAGATGTGTGAATTGTAGATCAAGAGGAGAGTTAGGATCATGCAAGGATCCTTTCACTATGAACGCGACAGAGATCGAAATGGAAAAAGGGGTCGATGCTGTGCCCTGCGCTTCTGGATGGTGTGGTAAAATTATCGAGAGACACGGCTTAAATAATGGTATGAATACTATACAAAATACATGTCTGGACCCTAGTGTTAGTCATACTGAGTCATACTCTCAAACTTTATAATTTTAAACGTTGACCTCATATTTGATGAAAAGCTAAATTCTAGATTTAGAGAGATCCAGTCCCCACCTAGTTGCACCAGGTCCAGATTTATAATCTGTACTTCCATTTAATTTTTATTATCTATGAGTATTATTCATTGGCCAAGTACGAGTATTATTTAAACGGTATTATTTTTCTTAGAATACGGCACAGCCACTCAAAGACTATGCTTCCAACGTGGACCCGACGACGGTGAAGAAAGATGCGCCTACACGGTGTGGAATTATAAAAAGGTGTACATGTGTCTTTGTTTCGGAGATTTGTGCAACGGTACGACGAGATTAAATATTTCCAATGGACTGATCGTTGCAACACTCGCTGTATTACTCCGATGGTTCGTTTAAGGATGTTAGAATTGAATCGAATGTATATTATTGTACAAAGAGTTCCTTGTATCCGTACGTGATGTGATATTACAGAGGATATCGGTTGTTGATCTTAAACGAACGAGCAGTGTGTAAAAATTGTACGCTAATTTTATTTATATCTTATGTATGATAATCACATGAAATTGAGGTATACGCATTTCACATAATAAAATCCGAGTGGAACGTTATACACAAATTAGTACAATGTTTTAATTGTATTAATAACACGATGCACCGCAATTTGCGTACATTACACTCGTGAAACTGTTAAATGCAGATTATTCGTGAGCAATAATGATACTTGTATACAATACTGGTACATCTGTTTCGAGCATGATCCGCTTTTAACAGGTTTAACGAGTGCAGGATTAATTAAATCCGCAGCTGATGCAGACAAGAATTTGTTGCTACGTTAAACGATATAATAGAACATTTCGACGCTAAACCAGTCAACGTTAAATAGCGCGACATACGTTAAATAGAAAAATACAAAAAGGATTTTCTTAATTATAGCTTCATAAAATTCTGCTCCACGTAGACAGCATCCGATGTTACCTTTTTCCTTTATCAAGACGCTAATGAGTTTGCAAATAAATAATATCGTCGTCAATAAATGTTTTTACATTAAGACTTCCTTGAGAACGGAGAGGTGGTTCTCAAGCTTCTCAATATTAGATCGAACAGGCCGTTTCGTCTTCTTTCTTCCTGATTTTTTAGCAGCGCTCTCTCGTGCGGAATGTCGTCATAAAACAATTCGCCTTGGCCATAAAGATATTTTACTGTCAACATCGCTTTTTTACCGGTTAACAGATAGGGGTCGTGATAGGCTGAAACATCGTTAAACACAACACGAATAAATTTCTCTGAAAATTTTGGAAACTTTGTATTTTTATAGCTTTTGTTCGATTAAAACATAGGTTTTTCTTACTGAGTCCGTTGGAAAAGTCAGGAGTCATGTGCCTCGATTCACGTGAGCTGTAACCAAGGTCATTTATATCTATCGGCGGTATAAAGACACCTACTGGCCATAGAGCTTCAGCATTTTCTCGCTTAATATCCACGGGTGCATTGCCTTTGTTGCCCAGACGTTTACCTGCATAAATATTCATAACACAAAATTATACGGCGATACGTTTTAATTAACGTATTGATCGTAGCAGATTAACCTTCCACCGATATTAAAAGTTTAATTAATTTTCGTCAAATGTGTAAATGAATTACTTGATAAAATTCGTAACATCAGCAAAATTGTGCAGACTACTAATGTTACGTAATTATGTTGCACTCATAAATAAAAATATTACCAAACTCCCTTGGGCTTCCTGTCGTGCTTCTCCTACCGATGGAGATGTAAGATCTCTGATCGATCGTTCGGTCCCCTGCGAGAAGCATTAATTATACTTAACGGTGATTTTTAAACGACACGCGATGTAATTACATTTGCGAACTAACCATCTGTCGTAATACCGTGCTCATAAATATGCGGCGGAGATATGAATTTCACGTGCACCTTCGAGAGGGGCAAAGCTCCAGTTGTTGCTACCACAACTAGGAGGATTACCACTTTCATCTGTAATTAAAACTCTCAAATTACGAAGCACTTCCTGATGATTTGCAAGTTGAAATATAAAACGAACTACGATGCGAGACCATGTGCACAGACGTAAACAATTTACTTTCACCATAGAAATTTTCATTACTGTAACACGAAATTGGGTCAAGGTCCAGTAGACTTCCTTAGGCGAAATAATTACGTACAAGGTCATTTTTTGAAATTCTGAAGTTTAGGAGTTTGTATGTTTAGGAATTGAAGGATTTAGAAATTGGAAAGTTGAGGAATCTGGACTAAAGTTCCAATATTTGTACTCTAAACTAAACCGAATGGTTCAACCGAACGTGAACGTTTCATCGCGTTTACGAAATTATGACATCATAGACCGGGTCCTGCTGCGAGTGAAACGGAACTACAATCACGTAGATGATCTGACTTTATTCGACAAAAATGAGTTGCGTACTCTGCATTCTAGCAGCTAATGCAGCCAGGTAATCCGGTCGTAAACGATAATCACGAGTGGCTGATATGCTGGAACATATTTCACTGCAAATATGTATAAGGTAACGATGTAAGCATAATCTCTGGAGCAGCTATTTGTTTGCAGTCTCGAGTCGTGTATCATCTTCATTGGAATATATATCATCTAGCCAGTGTTAGGCAAACTGTTAGACACGCGGAACGGTTGTTGTCGATGGGAGAACATCACGTGAAGCAATGTCCACTGAAATAAACAATTATCCTTCGACACGAGCACTTCATACGTCAAGGGAGTTTAAAAGTGAAGCTGAAAGCGATCATGAAGGCAGCATCTTCGGACGCGTATCATAATGTGCACATACGTGTGCGTGCATATGTTGGTGTGCAGATGTACGCAATACATGTCTATGAATTGGTTCGCTCATACATCTATTCGCGATTTCGCCATTCTGTTATACATTCAAACACGAATGCTCATAGAAAGTAAACGTTCTGATGCTCATATTTCAAGTGAAAGCTACTCTCTTTCCATTTTTTCTACAATCTATCAGCAATTTGTCATGTTACGTGGTCCTTTGTAAACGAACGTTTGATAGAACATGTGGGCGCAATTGTGCATTCTGATAGATCTGTAGACAGATCTCTTTCACTTGCTATCACGTGCCTCACATACACTCCAGCTCTACATAGTCTTCCTGTGGTTTAAGTGTCGAGGAAGTACCCTACTATTTATCTACTATATTATCAAATCCGATACAACAAATAGAACATTTTCAAATCTCTAAATATCTGATCTTCTACGTCTGAAAAGCAACTTTTCTATGGAAATGGAATGTGTAACGGTGCCTACATTTTCTCAACGAGTCTATTGTACACACGACATCGAATGATATTCATAATCTGTTATTTACTTCTGGTTAATAGAGTGCTGGTTTACGTCTGTTAGGCTCGATAATGTTTTTCAATCGATGTTGATCTAGAATGTAACGATATCACGAGTGAAACCGGATCGTTCAGTTTCATAACCCTCACATAGAAAGAGTGCACTTGTGCTTGAAAAGAACATTATTGTACCCAAGATAGCCAGGCGACTAGAGATATTCGTATGTTCGACGGTGCGTGTCAAACCACCCTTTCGCCTTCCTTTCCGCTCACCTTCACTCGCGAGTTGAAGTGGCTTCTATTAATTCTACGCCTATTGTGAGGTAACGAAACCAAACGCAATGGAAACGATGGAAAATTTTTTAGTTTCTCCTTCAAATTTAGAACGGATTAATTACTCGGATGCTATTCAGCGATTGTTTCGGATACAAAAGGGAACGGCGCAACAAACAGAAAACCGTGAGAGAAAATGTACGAAAAGGTGGAATTTGTATGAATGGCTCATCCATAGAAGAGTAACTTTTAGAAAGTCCCTGTTGCATGTTAAACAGACAAGCAAGGATTAAAGATGCAATGTATTGCGTACCGCATAATTGCGATGACGGTAAATCACGTGAGCGAAAGTGATTAACAGTAATCGAGAAAATCTTAGTCGCGCATTTACGCCGTGTTAGCCATGGAAAAATTGTTGACGTTCAATTACATCAATGAGCAACGTCCTAGAAATTAACCCAATCAAGTGTCGTGTCCAATTAAATGTGGAAGCGTGATGCAAACGTGCATGCAGTCTTTGTTTTATTACATAAAAGTTTAAAACTTGACCAGGCATATACGTATTTACATCACACGGTTTCACCTATTATCTATCGAAGGGATCAGATTTCAACACTCGAAAAACGTAAAATGATGTCATTGTACTTCGTCGTACAGAAACTAAAAAATGTTTTATTAAACTTGATCAATTATCGCGTCACTTACCGTTATCATCACGGACAATGATTAGAGACAATTGTTACCACTAATCCTTGGCTTAATCGAGATTGACGTGTTCGTATAAACACTATGTTGCACCCGCGCAAAGAGGAAATACCGACCCGATAGCTTTCCAAAACAAACCGTGTAGCGTCTTCTGGACACGATCAGGAACTGTTCTAGTTTAAATGTCTCGGGAGAATGTCGCGCGTGGGTTCCAGCATCCCCCTTCTTGTTATGTACCCCACCTGCAGAGTTACGAAGGTTCGTAAGGACTCGCACGAAGACACAGTAGAACTTTCATTTCGGTGAACGCGGTGCAACTGGGTTTTGCACGTTTTAAAAATACCGCGCACGTGGATGACCAATAGCTGCGCACCAGAGTGTGCGCGGCAGTACGGAGTTTCGGCGCGCTACGCACGGTTGCGTCGTTGTTATTCTAATTCGTTAAAAACGAAAAAATCTACTTAATACATAGTGTTTTGTGTCGTGATAAACGTTTCAAGTGATTAGCGACCTAATTTTGTAAAGTATTATTATGAATTTAAACTTATTTACGTTTTTCGAGCCTGAAGTGTCGACTTCGTGCTTCATAGCTGCAATTCCACGTAAATTGTAAGTAAGCTTTATATTATTTTATATGTATTTACAGATGTATTTCATAATTTTATGAGAATATTTATTAACTGTGATTATAAATAAGTAGTTTTGAATATGCTAAAACACTGTTATCTTAAATAAGTTATCTCAACTGTTATCACTGTTATTCTGTGTTCTAATTAGTTCAAGGAACTATCATTGCATGCCTAGCCTTTATATTTTTAAAAGGCTTATGAATACATTAAGATTCTATACTTTGAAAAAGTTAATATTTGCTATATTGTATCGTATTAAAAAAATTCATACGTTGTGGGGTAAGGTCAGTTTCGCGCGCTTTTTCACGGTTTGACATAATGGCGGTACGATGTAATATAGATCAGTATTGTTTCATTTACTTCTAGAAAAATCTTTGTTTGCTTATAAAAGTGTTACGTGGTGATTGTTAGTCAACATGCACTTATTAAGTTTTTTGCATAACCGCATTTAAATGTAAGCGCAACTGTCATAACCTGAAGTAAACATTGCTTACGTACAGTTATAGTGTTATATCATACAAATCGGTATCTTTTTTACCTTAATGAATGTATAATGCGACATTTGATATATATCTCGTTAGAATAATGTATGATAAATACTACATAGTGATACATTAAAGAGTATTTATAAATCCTATCAAATCTAAGAGGTTAGTTTTCTGTTTTTGTATATTTCATGTACAACATGTTAAAAAATGTTTATAGTTATATTAGTTTTTGTAGGTTTGTTAGGGATTATAGAATATATGTCCATAATATCATAAAATTCTTTATTGTTCAAACCTGATTAAGGTTTTGTGAAGTATAATGGAACATGCTATAAATAAAGGTATCGAATACTAATTGTCTCAGTCTTGTTTAACGTAATTGTGGTTTGTGGTTGTTATGAAATAAGTCCTGAATTACATTTATGTAGTCTTATTCAAGCAACTATCATTCACGAACTCATAACAAATATAGGATTACAGAGCAAAACAATTTATTATTCATTAGATACAGCGCTGCTTAAGGAATTAAAAACATTGTGTACTTAATTCCATTTATTTTGCGAACAATTTAAACTGTTTCAAGTAATGTATGGTAGCATCGACCCCATATTAAAAAAAGCAGTCATCAAATATAATACATAATTGTCGTAACGCGTAATGTACATAATTTTAATAATTTAAAATACTACAATATTACTATCCTAGCAAGTAGTTTAGAGAAAGAGAACTTTCCATACATGTAACATTAACTCTGCTAGCTCTAAAAAATTCACCTAAATTTCTACCATCGATAAAAGATTTTGAAATAAATTCTATCTACAATCTATGAAATATCTATGTGATACTCCTTCAAGTTAAAAAACAATCTATTATAATACAAATTTATATTCAGCTACTGTATCTTCATTTTACAACATGATTCTTAATCAGTGTTAAAATACTGACTAGTCTTCCGCTCATACACGATAATACGATAAATGTACAATGCGCGCAAATATGCGGTTTAAAATACTTTCTCGAGTTCCATCGACTCGCCAAGCGGTGCTTGTTGCAATTAAAAATTAAGAAACCGATCATAAAAAATTGAAACGTTACCGAACAATCGCCGATCAACGTTGACCTTTTCCTTCGTTTAATAACGACTGTATCCTTAAGGGGTCACATAACCGATTACATCATGACACAGGTCGTTCCCGCGAACTAATTAGTTACGGTAGCCTTACAGTTACTGTATTTTCCTCTTCACGTATTTCAAGATCAACTGTACCTTTGATCGTGCGACAATTAATTAACGTAGTACACGTATCATTAAGACGTTCCGCTTAACGAAGTAAAACAATCTCTTTCAACCCGTGACTAACACGTTGAATTCTACGAAATACTTCCTCGTTAATCTTCAACGTCCTTCGACATTTTCTTTTGTACACTTTTTGCTATCGGTGCGTCTCGACACCGTCCAAAAATCACAGACGAAACTGACAACTTGACACGCAATCTACCTTGCGTCCTCCGCCAGTCCAACTGTTTTTTACTTGCCATAAGGTTGATGAATACTTATTAGGAACCAAAACGCTGCAGCGAGGAATATCGTTCCCGACAAATCGCCTAAAGCGGTCAGGTACGGGATGGCCGAGTTGTCCGGGTCGATTTTGTACCGCCACATAGCGTGAATAATGATATGAGCTACGTAAAGCAGCACCATAACCTGAGAAATAAATATCACATTTTTTTTCAATCGAGCCTTTCACTTTTTCGATACGAGTTCGATGCCACTGTTCTACGAACCTGAAGAACAGCCACGAAGATGTAAGACAGCACGAAGTACACGTGTATCGTCGAGGTACGGTATTTGATGTAGTCAGCGACGAAAATGAAGATCGTTTCGCCAAAAATTGCCATGCAAATGAGTATTCTGGCCGTTTTCGCGTACGGTGCTAGAGAAACGAAAGCGAGAGCGTTATGTATTACGCAAGCTGTTATGGTAACCGCGAAAAATGCGCCACGCATTGGCGTAACTAGCATTCTTTCGTAGGGTGGGTCAATAAGTGTCGATTGTATAATTGATAATTGTGTCGATGAATTGTGATGGACACTGGGTGGATTGGGGAGTTTGGAGATTTGGTAATTTGGGGATTTGGAAATTTGGGAATTTGGAAGATTGGGAATTCGGAAGATTGGGTATTTGGGAGATTGGGAATTTGAGAGTTTGGAACTTCGAGAGATTGGGAACTTGGGAGATTTGGAATTTGAGAGATTGGGAATTTGAGAGTTTGGAACTTTGAGAGATTGGAAACTTGGGAGATTGGAAATTTGGGAGAGTGGGAATTTGGGAGAGTGGGAATTTGGGAGAGTGGGAATTTGGGAGAGTGGGAATTTGGGAGAGTGGGAATTTGGGAGAGTGGGAATTTGGGAGAGTGGGAATTTGGGAGAGGTGGAAATTTGGGAGATTGGGAATTTAGGAGATTGGGAATTTGGGAGATTGGAACTTTGAGAGATTGGAAATTTGAGAGAGTGGAAATTTGGGAGATTGGGAATTTAGGAGATTGGGAATTTGGGAGATTGGAACTTTGAGAGATTGGAAATTTGAGAGAGTGGAAATTTGGGAGATTGGGAATTTAGGAGATTGGGAATTTGGGAGATTGGAACTTTGAGAGATTGGAAATTTGAGAGAGTGGAAATTTGGGAGATTGGGAATTTAGGAGATTGGGAATTTGGGAGATTGGAACTTTGAGAGATTGGAAATTTGAGAGAGTGGAAATTTGGGAGATTGGGAATTTAGGAGATTGGGAATTTGGGAGATTGGAACTTTGAGAGATTGGAAATTTGAGAGATTGGGAATTTGAGAGTTTGGAACTTTGAGAGATTGGAAATTTGGGAGAGTGGAAATTTGGGAGATTGGGAATTTGGGAGATTGGAACTTTGAGAGATTGGAAATTTGAGAGAGTGGAAATTTGGGAGATTGGGAATTTAGGAGATTGGGAATTTGGGAGATTGGAACTTTGAGAGATTGGAAATTTGAGAGATTGGGAATTTGAGAGTTTGGAACTTTGAGAGATTGGAACTTTGAGAGATTGGAAACTTGAGAGATTGGAAATTTGGGAGAGTGGAAATTTGGGAGAGTGGGAATTTGGAAGATTGAGAATTTGGGAGATTTGGGAATTTGGGAACTCGAGGATTTGGATATGTGAGACTTTGGAGATTTAGGAATTGGTAAATTTGAGAATTTAAAGATTTTGAACTTTGCAGATGTGAGGATGTAAAGATTTGGGAATTTTGAAAGATGATTCGGAAATATAGGAATTTAGAAACATTGAGGTTTAAAAATAAGAAATTTGGGAATATAACATCTTGCACTGTACAAACTTGCTATTCAAAAATATCTCAATCTACTAATTAAGAAATCAGAAAATCTATTAATGTAGCAGTCATGAAATGTGCCTTGAAATCTTCAAAATTCGATTACAAGAGAAAAGAAGTAAACCTCCGATATTTCGAGGGTGACCACCCGAGCTAGTTACGCCACTGGCATAATACTGCAACATTAGTTAGTCTTGCATCACTTACAGCCTTTAAATAGCGCCTTCCACGGCGCAATGAACATTTTCGAATGCGGCGGTAAAATCCCCATAATGGACGTCTGGTGTAACGTGGTTGAGATTCGAGATGCTTGTACGGAAACCAAATTACCGCCAATTCCGTTTATGATTGGTTGAAAGATCACGAATCCGTTGAAAGAATTGACAACTTGATCGAGTACCAAGCCACCTAACCTGGATTAAAACATAAACATCGATAAGTGCTTTATCGCGATTTCTGTTAACTAGTTATATAATTATTGATAAAAAATATACTAACCCACTGATACACAGAGCCGATAATACCGGAACCCATCCAGAAGTTAAAACGTTTCTTGTGTATTTATTTTTGAGTACTACGTAGATCCAAAATGGTAAAATCAGAAAGTAGCAGCAGATTACGACGTATAAAAGCCAAGGTTCCCCGGACATCCGTCCGAAAAACGCTGAAGCTATCGTAGATAACACGCTGATTGACACTACGTCTCCGAATGACGCTGCCAAGGGCGTAGCCAGATTGTCTGGATTCATTTTACATCGAAACGATATCATGATTACGGCGATCATTACGAAATCTGGAAAAAAAACATTAAGATTTCATGATATGTAGATGACGGATTAAAAAATATTTCCTTTAATTGCTGCGTTGTGTAAGAACGTTTGATTACCAATGTAAAGCAGAATGGTACTTTACTATGTACTCAAAATGATTCGATTAATGTTTGCTGGTTGTTTGCTGATGTTGGTGTAACTGGGTGGGAGGCAGAGGTTCATTTGTGGAATGTAGGGTAGCTTTTTCCTAATTTAAAGATTCTCAAATTCTCAAATTACTAAATTTCTAAATTTCTAAATTTCCAAATTCCCAAATTCTCAAATTTCCCAAACTCTCAAATTCCCACTCTTCCAAATTCTCACTCTCCCAAATTCCCAATCTTCCAAATTTCCAATCTCTCAAATTCCCACTCTCCCAAATTCCCAATCTCTCAAATTCCCACTCTCCCAAATTTCCAATCTCTCAAATTCCCAATCTCTCAAATTCCCACTCTCCCAAATTCCCAATCTCTTAAATTCCCACTCTCCCAAATTTCCAATCTCTCAAATTCCCAATCTTCCAAGTTCCCAATCTCCCAAATTCCCAATCTCCCAAGTTCCCAATTTCCCAAGTTCCCAATCTCCCAAATTCCCAATCTCCCAAGTTCCCAATTTCCCAAGTTCCCAATCTCCCAAATTCCCAATCTCCCAAGTTCCCAATTTCCCAAGTTCCCAATCTCCCAAATTCCCAATCTCCCAAGTTCCCAATTTCCCAAGTTCCCAATCTCCCAAATTCCCAATCTCCCAAGTTCCCAATTTCCCAAGTTCCCAATCTCCCAAATTCCCAATCTCCCAAGTTCCCAATTTCCCAAGTTCCCAATCTCCCAAATTCCCAATCTCCCAAGTTCCCAATTTCCCAAGTTCCCAATCTCCCAAATTCCCAATCTCCCAAGTTCCCAATTTCCCAAGTTCCCAATCTCCCAAATTCCCAATCTCCCAAGTTCCCAATCTCCCATATTCCCAATCTTCTAAATTCCAAATCTTCCAAATCTCCAAATTCCCAACTTCTAACCCTCCACATTCCAAATTTCCAAATGATCCATTCTCTAACCCAAAAATTCCCAATTTCCGATTTCTAACTCTCATAATGCCCAAAAGTCCCATCATTCCATATCTACCTTGGACCACACCACAAAACCAGCATCCCCCTCCCAATTAAAAATTCCAGTTACACCGTTGTCGCTAACCTTAAAGCTACATAAGAAGCATAATGCTGTGGCAATAAATGAATGAGAACCTCACCTAAAATAAAACACGAACTGGTGGCAGTGCAAACACTGGAGGCGATCAGCAACAGGCAGTGGTCCCACACGAAGGTGTACGCGGCACCTTCCGTGATGGCGTTAACAACGATGGCGAAAATGGCGACCAAAATGGCTGCGACGATCGCTTGAATCTGCACCAACGCAATGTTACCGATAATCATTTTCGCTATTTCCCGGAAACCGTGCATATTTCCAAGATTCGCTTGCGTGGACAAACGAGAAGCGAGACACATGTCGAGATTGCCCTTCAACCCTAACAGAGGAGGCACCAAGATGAACAGTTGAGAAACGGCTTTAAACACTGGCCAGTCCTAGAACAGACGATATTTAATTAAAGAGGGTGCCGAAGGAACGTAACCGGGAATGTTAATTGTTCTCCAAGAATTTCTGCGCTGCTGGAAACCGATAAAATCTTGGCTCTTGAATGTTTGAATGGCGGAGGGTTGGTGCTTACGAGATTATTACTGTTGTCTCAAGACAATTGTATTTTCTTTTTTTTCTTGTTGGATACATTGTGGTAAATAAAAGAAAGTCGCATTCTAACATTATCTTCAGATATGAAAGTGCACGATCGATAAGAGGCGGTTCGCGGAAAAATACGTGATTTACGATCTTTCTATTTGAGTTTACTCTGTTTATTTATAAATATGAGATAATCACAAGATTTCAAACTATGGCTACTAATTTTTAAGCGACGTGTTGGAAGAATTACTTCTGAAAATTTCAAAATGTCTGGTCTTGCAAAATTTATGAATTGAGAGGTCTAGAAATAGAGACTCGAAGATTCAAGGTTCAAAGCTGGATTTTAAAAAGTTCTCAAGGTATACTAGTGGTTAGAGTTACTAAAGGTTAAACGTACCTTGACCTGGTCTTGAACGAGACCGGCTCCGATCGTACCTATTCCGGCGATGAAGAAAGGCACGGCGACTTGCAGGGTGGTATGATACCATCTTTCGTTTCTGAAGGAGTTGTTGCCGAATCCGTCCGTGTTATTACGAAAGTCAGGATCAGGATCTGAATTTTCGACGGAAGAGATCGTCACTAGGGAACTTCCACTGGAAAGTGATCCACCACCGAGATTGGGCAGTGACATGTCCGTTTTGTTCTTTTGTCCGTTAGGGTTTTTCAGACCCGCTACCGAGAAACCAATACATCTCACATTCTACCGTGCCACGCGTCGACGACGTTTCATTAACATTAAACGAAATGCCGTCGAGAATCATCGCGCTATTACCATTAATTCTCCTTATCGACAAACTTTCCTTCTGATTCGCTTTAATTCCCGGACAAGATTCGCCACTTCGTTGAATTCAGACGTGGTCGAGCACGTGTATTGAACGAGCTTAACGTTTCTGTGCGTCGACGGATAATAATGTGTGAGGTTATCGCGTTAAAATGATTGTTATTATTTATACGACGTCTTGCAAATGCGCAACATGCGATTATTTCCTACTTGCTACGCCGGCATCGCCGACGGGATGATAGCGCTATCGACACACGCGCTCGCGATTAATTAGGCCACCAGATTTCTATTATCAAAAACGGGCTTCTTTCGATTCTGTAACCATTAGAGCGCTTTAATAGAATCGCTCGAACAATAAAGAGCTCACGCGTTATCATCGCTCGTGCCAACACAACCCAGCGAGCTGATATCGACAATGTTATTCATTAATATCGGTAATCACGAAATTTTCTCCATAAATGTCAATAACATGGAGACTAATAACGTTACAATATCGGGAGTTCAAATAATCGTACTTGAAATTTTGAATGGGAGTCAAAGTTTGGTAGTTTAGGAATTTGAGGATTTGGGGATTTGGGAATTTGGGAGATTGGAAATTTAGGGATTTGGGGATTTGGGGATTTGGGGATTTGGGGATTTGGGGATTTGGGGATTTGGGGATTTGGGGATTTGGGGATTTGGGGATTTGGGGATTTGGGGATTTGGGGATTTGGGGATTTGGGGATTTGGGGATTTGGGGATTTGGGGATTTGGGGATTTGGGAATTTGAGAGATTGGAAGTTTGAGAGATGGGGAATTTGGGAGTTTGGAACTTTGAGAGATTGGGAATTTGAGAAATTGCAAATTTGGGAGATTTGGAATTTGAGAGATGGGAAATTTGAGAGTTTGGAAACTTGGGAGATTGGAAACTTGGGAGATTGGAAATTTGGGAGAGTGGGAATTTGGGAGATTGGTAATTTAGGAGATTGGTACTTTGAGAGATTGGGAATTTGAGAGATTGGGAATTTGAGAGTTTGGAACTTTGAGAGGTTGGGAATTTGGGAGATGGGAAATTTGAGAGATTTGGAATTTGGGAGTTTTGAACTTTGAGAGGTTGGGAATTTGGGAGATTGGGAATTTGAGAAATTGGAAATTTGGGAGATTTGGAAATTGAGAGTTTGGAACTTTGAGAGATTTGGAATTTGAGAGATTTGGAATTTGATAGTTTGGAACTTTGAGAGATTGGGAATTTGGGAGATTGGGAGCTTGAGAGAGTGAGAATTTGGAAGAAATGGCGAAATCTAACCTAACTTAACCTAGTCTAACCTACGTTAACTTAACCTAGTCTGACAATGTCCACGCGTAACAAACAAAACGCAAAGTAGTCATAAAAATAGTCGCAAGTCCTCCATAAAAATTAATCAAATTTACGTTCAAAGGCAAGGTAGCGTAAAGAAAATGGCGCAGATTAGGTTAGATAAAGCATGAAGTTTAAACGAAGCAGTCATCCGTGTGTCGTTAAATATCGATGATATACGATGGTGGCACTTCTAATCTGACCGCGTATTTCGTTAAGCTATCAAGACGAAGGCCCGCGTAAAAGTCGTACGATCGGTGACCTCGTGGCGTACGATTCGTATCGATAAAATTCGCGAATGAAACGATACTGTATGTCAAGGCCGTGTCTACTTTGTAGCCCATATTGTATGTTAATTAGCTCACCTGCCACTTTCTTCACGACATCAGGCGCTGCCTTAATCTCCGCTGACGGACTCAGTTTGTTGTCGTTGCCTTTCTCCATACAGTCGAAATCCAACGCATAATTATCCTTGCCGTTCGACATGTTGTGCCGTTCTATAGTGAACGCGTGATCCTTGACGCCCTTGTCGTTCAGTTTGTTTGTTAAACGCTCATTGTGAACCGCGCTGTCAGTTAACTTTATATCAGTGATGTTCAGCAGTGTGGGTTCAGTCGACGAGTCCGGAAAACCGACCATACCTGCAATTTTTTTCAATGATTCGATCAAACGGACGACCTTAGCAAAGATTGACACGTGGGTCCTTGGACTTAGTCGCGAAATACGGTAATGTAGGAAGATTTGGTAGAACTCGTTTTTACCTGTTCGAAATTGGAAGAAAGTTGAAGAACTTTCGAACTTAGGAATTTGGGAGATTTTATACGTGGACGAATTTAGGAGTGGAAATTGAGGATTAGGGAATTTGGATATTTGGGAATTTAGGGGTAGGGGAAGATGGGGAGGGAGTTTGAGATTTGGGGAGATATTTGGGAAGTTGGGAAATTTGGAAACTCGGAAAATTTAGAATGTTGGGAAATTTGGGTATTGGGGAATTAAGGAATTTGGGGAATTTGGAAAATTTGGAATATTGGGAAATTTAGGTACTGAGGAATTAGAGAATTTGGGGAATTTAGAAACTTGGGAAATTTGGAAATTCGGAAAATTTAGGTATTAGGGAATTTAGGAATTGGGGAATTTAGAAATTTGGGAAATTTGGAAATTCGGAAAATTTAGGTATTAGGGAATTTAGGAATTGGGAAATTTAGAAATTTGGGAAATTTGGAAATTCGGAAAATTTAGGTATTAGGGAATTTAGGAATTGGGGAATTTAGAAATTTGGGAAATTTGGAAATTCGGAAAATTCAGAATATTGGGAAATTTGGGTACTGGGGAATTAAGGAATTTGGGGAATTTAGAAATTTGGGAAAATTGGAAATTTGGAAAATTTGGAATATTGGGAAATTTAGAAACTTGGGAAATTTGGAAATTCGGAAAATTTAGGTATTAGGGAATTTAGGAATTGGGGAATTTAGAAATTTGGGAAATTTGGAAATTCGGAAAATTTAGGTATTAGGGAATTTAGGAATTGGGAAATTTAGAAATTTGGGAAATTTGGAAATTCGGAAAATTTAGGTATTAGGGAATTTAGGAATTGGGAAATTTAGAAATTTGGGAAATTTGGAAATTCGGAAAATTCAGAATATTGGGAAATTTGGGTACTGGGGAATTAAGGAATTTGGGGAATTTAGAAATTTGGGAAATTTGGAAAATTTGGGAAATTTGGAATATTGGAAAATTTGGAAATTCGAAAAATTTAGATATTAGGGAATTTAGGAATCGGGGAATTTAGAAATTTGGGAAATTTGGAAAATTTGGGAAATTTGGAATATTGGAAAATTTGGAAATTCGAAAAATTTAGATATTAGGGAATTTAGGAATCGGGGAATTTAGAAATTTGGGAAATTTGGAAAATTTGGGAAATTTGGAATATTGGAAAATTTGGAAATTCGAAAAATTTAGATATTAGGGAATTTAGGAATCGGGGAATTTAGAAATTTGGGAAATTTGGAAAATTTGGGAAATTTGGAATATTGGAAAATTTGGAAATTCGAAAAATTTAGATATTAGGGAATTTAGGAATCGGGGAATTTAGAAATTTGGGAAATTTGGAAATTCGGAAAATTTAGAATATTGGGAAATTTAGGTACTGAGGAATTAAGGAATTTGTGGAATTTAGAAACTTGAAAAATTTGGAAATTCGGAATTTGCAAAGTCGCTAAATTTGGAAACTTGGGAATTTAAGAAATTAAGGGTTCAATTCGAAGATTAAGTAAGAAAATTTTGCAACATAAAAATTTATAAATTTAGGTGTTTAAGTATCTGAGAATTTGGGAAATGAAAAATGAAAAAATTTAGAAATTTGAAAATTTAAAAAAGTTACGAGTTAACACATAACAGAAAGCCAATTTTATAAAACTTGAGTATGTAACACTAAAAGTACCGAACCAGTTAAATGACCGCTCCATAAGTTTCTTATTATAAGATACATGTTTTGTTAAAATGCATTCTTTGAAATCAGAATTGATTTTCATCAAGAGGGAAATTTCGCAACATAAAAATTTATAAATTTAGATGTTTAACTATCTGAGAATTTTGGGAAATAAAAAATTTGAAAAAGTTACGAGTTAACATGAATTGGAATAAAAAATGTAGAAGGTGTTGAGAATAAAATGAAACGTACCGAGTTCGATGCTGACGCACAATCTTATAGTATCCCCTTCGAAATTGGCAAAGTCCGGGATCGACCTGTGATACTTTCACGTCGGACCTGCCTATTTCGGTCAGCCTTGATCTGTTAAACGTCGAAAATTCTCTAGAATAGTTTATTTATAATAGCAAAAGTCATGAGTGGAGAAGTAAAACGATCGAAGATTCGCGCTGTAAAGACGGCAATTGAATAAGTTCTTTTTCCATCGTAGAATCAATCTATTGTTTCTTCGAGGCTTATCGGATAATTGTAAACCTTATTATTGGGTACACGAACAGTTGATAACCAGATATCGATCATTCAGGGTTATTCATTAATCGATAATATAGAAGAGTATCTACGTAGTGATTGTTCGTTCAATGTCGTTGCTCTTGGTTTTTTCGTGTCTAGACGTTTTGATAGCACGTGAAATATTATACTCGAGATCAGCACAGTATCGCTAACGACACGAGGAACTTAGTTCTTGTATTACTACTAATCGGAGTCCACGTGTCGTTGGATTTATATTACGCGCGTGTAAGAAATCGAAAAATGGCTGTGCAGCATTTTAAGGAGTCCCCTTGGGAACAATCGTTCCTACGAGATCGTTTAATTTAACAACGTGTTCTCGAACGATAAAGATGTTTAACACGAACTTGTTACTCGCACAAATAAATCTCCAATTATATCGATCTACGAAACCTTGCGATAACGATATCGCATTTTCGGAACAACGATCTCACAGATACGAGTATCGTCCGATATTAACAACTCTTAGAATTCTTTCTTTCGCTTCGCGTGGGACAAAACGTTTCCTTCGGAACAGCGACTACTTACCACCGCCGCGGAACCGAATACTCGTAAACGCGAAATAAGTCGGACCGTGAAAAAGACGAGTTACAATAAACGCCACTTAGTCATCATAACATAATAATGCTTCGAAATACGGCGGAAGGACAAAAGACGCTTATCGAATACTCACGTGGTGACAATATATTGAAGAATTTGCGCCAGCGTGTCGACGTTTCCTAGTAAAATCTGTATTGTTCCTCGGTCTTCGATTAACCCTGCCACTTCTGACCAGCGCCTCTTCGAGCCCTTTCTCAAAATCGCGTCGGTTTTCGCGAGTAGCGGTATTCGTTCCGTTAAACGAAAACCTGTTCTCGAGTCCTCGACGAACACTGCGATCGACGATCGATCCAGCGTTCAATAAAAATCGTGTACGAGGATAATCGAACCGGATCGCGAATCGGAAAAACCGTCACACTGAAAATACAGCAGTGTCGCGCGTACTCGACCGTTTGCCTCACACGGTCGTGGTTGACTGATAAAAGAAGCCTCAGGTCGTTTGTCGGTACTTCAGTCGCTTCATGTGCATTCAGATGCGACGTGTTGCCGTCCGGGCGTACGCACGTGCGCTATCTTTGACGACGATGGTGGGAGAGATTATTGCAAGTGGATCGTAGATCGTAGATCATTAATTGATTTGCGACGTCGCGCATCAAGAATTTCCACTCGAGCTACCGATGCTACTGGCGCCCTTACACGCCGACGATGCCAACGGTTAGCGATTTCTTATCTTCGGGGATTTTTTGAGTCATCTAGGGTTCATTAGTCATGGCGCTCATTAGGCATGTTTCACCTCGGGGAAACGATAGCTACAAATTGATGAGTTTTTAATTTTTTGAAGTTATGAACTTATGGATTTCGAAAGAAGTTTGTCAATTCTTAAATTTTTGTGCTCTCGAGTTTGTACACTTTCTTAATCTCCAAATTGCTACATCCCATGGATGGATTTCTGTACTTCTAAATTGTTGAATTTCCAAATTTTCAAGCTTAGAATTTCCAAACTTAGAAGCTTGAAATTTTTAAATTCCTAAATTTCTAAATTCTCAAATTTATGTAATTTCAAGTTTTCTAATTTCCAACTCGTCACATCCCAATTTTGCTAGATTTCTATATTTTCGTATTCTCTAATTCTCTAATACTTAAAGCCCCAAATTCCTAAACTCATAAATTCCCAAATCCCTAAATCCTCAGATCTCTAAGATTCTAATCTTAAATTCCCCAAATGTCTGACTTTAAATTCTCCAAGTTCTCAACCTTAAATTCTCCAAATTCCTAACCTTAAATTCTCCCAAATTCCTAACCTTAAATTCTCCCAAATTCCTAACCTTAAATTCCCCAACCCAACCTTGAACTCCCCAACCCATTAAATCTCTAAGTCCCCAAAATCGTCGAGTCATTCACCACAAAAATCCTATCGCAAAACCAGAATCCCTGATTCATCCTAGAAAAAATTCCGATTACGTCAACGATTCATTTCATCACCTCATTAATTTGTATCTTCCATAGAATACATTTTTTCACTCTCCCAGTTTTTATCAACTTGTTCTACTCTGCATGGTTAAACAGTCACAAAAAAATGTTCACGTACATTTAAAATTATTCTAATCGATAACGGAGTTTAATATCTTAAGCTATCTTTTGTACCACAAATAGAAACCCACTTAAAGAAACCGATATAGTTTTAACAAAACGAGTAACTTCAGCTGATTATCAAAGAAGACAATGTTTTCAAGTAGTTCGAAGAATTATCGATCGTTAAGAATATCAGTTGCGTACAAAATCGATTGACAAGAGCAATTTGTCTGGATTTATACCTTTATGTTTTTCCTCAATTGTTGTACACGCGAGAAACAATCGTTGAGACAAGTGACTCAGCATGTAAAAAGAATATGCAATACTAGGAAACGTTTTATCCATGGGTATTAACGAAGCCGCTACGTTGTATATGATTTGATCCGTTTATGTAATTAACGGTAAAGACGAATTTATTCTGTTTCGCGAAATCACCTACGTGAACGGAGTAACATAAATTTGAATGGTAAAATCGTGTACGTAGGAATTTCTGAACAATTGGTATGCCGTACGTGCAATTACGGCAATCGGGATTTACCTTCCTTCTTTTCAATGACGTCACGGATACGATTTACGAACGGGGAAGAACGGCCACGTGACATGCATGATATCGTGTAAAATCGATGGCAAATTCGATTGATCGGCCGGTTGAATGGTCGTGCAGCCGGTCGCTCGTAGCACGACAGCTTATCGGCTCTTATTAAAAGCAATTACTTTAAGTTAATTGCGGAACATAACGAGCAACGTCATGCGACGCATTCGCGTTCACAATTAGCACTGAGCGGATACTGTGTCATCTGAAAATGAAAAAAAAAGAATATACGGAACATTCGTATCGCGCTGGGAAATCAATGATTTGTCACCGTTGCTGGTTTTAATGAATTTTTACGAGTGCAATATGTTCGCGGAATTGTTGTCATCCGAGAACGCTGATTCCATTTGAATCGAGATCTATCCGACTATCGCCGACTTTAACTGGCTAGATAATATTGTGACTCATAAACTTCCGCTGTTTCCTCGCAATATTCATTTTTCAAATTAACGATATTAGGACGACATGCGATACACAAAAATATTTGTGGCTTCAAAAATTCAATAGACACTTTTTGGGTCTCTAATTCTCGACAGATTCAACACATCATCACTTAGTATATCAATTAACCACATCTGCAATCTCGTGATAATAGCCCACGATCAAAGTTGATAGATTACTCAATCGCGAAGACGTGACCGTACAATCAAAAAATAGAAAACTATTTCTGCGTTATTAGTTTCATCTTTTTCTTCATTTTATCTGATTCTTTGTTCCAAGCTTATTCTGCGAATTGCAAAAAACAATTACCGTTGTGATTAACGCGTTGATAGTTTCGAGATGCGGATGATAACGGAGCAGTAACTTTGCTGACGTCTTGTTGGAAGTTATTGTTAACACGTGCACAGACACATTTCGTTCGATGAGGAGAAACAGGATTTATAAACGGGATTTGTTAGGTGTATCATGATCAACAGGTACAAGAGACGCCGGGACACTGATTCGATTAGAACACCTAATACACGACAATATCATGTATAGGTCAAGATTGTCTACTTATATTTACATTTTCATATTTACGTATACTTTTGAATTTCATCTTCAAAGATGCGATAAAACAGGTTTAAATGTCATAGTTGTGGTTTGGTATTTTTAATCTGGTGGGGTAGTGCATTTTCTAATTTTTAATTTATGTATTTTTTAGTATGTGGATGGTTAATTTGGTATTTGAGGATTTTTAGGGGCTCAAATTTTTTAAATTTTAAGTCTGGGGTTTTTGAGTTTTGGAGGTCTTGAGGAATGGAATTCTGAAGTTTGGAATTTTTAAGTTTGGAATTCTTGAGTTTGGAATTTCTGAGATTACCAAATTTTTAAGTTTCCAAATTCTCAAGTTACCGAATTCTCAAGTTATTGAATTCTCAAGTTTCCAACTTCTCAAGTTACCGAATTCTCAAGCTTGGAAT